GATTGCTTCTAACTATACACTCTCAAAAAGATGGTTCTTGAAGGGTTCTTTAGGAATGACAGTGGTTCTGTTTAGGACCATGAACACTCAAGCAACCATTTGCATGCATAAAGGGTTCTTTGCATGGTGAAAAGGTTCTTCAGACTGATGGAGAATGTGCTGTATATGATTCTATATAGAAGCTTTGATATCGTGACAAACTTGATATCGTAATAATAGCAGAACCCTGTTTGGCGCTGTACAGAACCTTTCAAAAAGCTTCTATACAGAACCATATACCACACATTCTCCATCAATCAACCTTTTAATCATGCAAATAATCATTTAAGCATGCAGGTAGTTATTTGAGTATTCATGGTTCTATATAGAACCATTGCCTTTACTAAAGGACCCTTGAAGAACCATCTTTTTTAAGAGTGAGAAGTAAAAATACTGTAAACACCACTCTAAGCACAACCATATGCTATGACCTCAACTACAGATGTGCCAGCGAAGCAAACTTCTGCTTCCCTGCAAAAATCTGAAGGTGACATCAAGGTCTACTTGTTTTCTGGGATTTTACAAGGAATAAGCAACTATTTTTCAGAAGAACACTGGATGTTTTGCACTGTTGCAACATCCTGGAATCGTCCCGTCTGACCACATGACACAGGAATGGGCCAGCAAAGCAACTCGGTCTTCAACATAACAATGTGACGTTGGACTTTCTGGAAGCAGAAAGGACTGCAGTAAGAATTTCCAGCCTAAAACGGTCATTGTGGTTTTCAAAGATGATCTGATTTTCTTTCATTAGACAGTTTAGTAATTTGTATAGATAGAGGGAGAGAGGGAAGTGCAAAACCTCTTGCAGATAAGAAGAACAAAGGCTAAAAAAAGATGGAAGACCGGAGATAAAGGTTAGAAAGAAACAGAGAAAAAAGGGAGGCAGGGGGGAGAAGTGTGCTGAATTTGAACTGGAGGGAGACAAACTGACTCAGTTGTTCCCTTCAGGTTTGTGCCAATGGAAAAAACACAGAATTGTGGTCATCAGCGCCCGAGTCTCGGTCTCACACAGCATGGGCGCGCGGTGGCCCACACCACTGACCTATTTACATTCACCCACACCTGACAACCAGACCAAAACCAAGCCATGAGTTTTTAATCTGATCTCATGCACGATCAGGAAAAAGTAAAATATGGTGTACTTATAAAGACACTTGAAGACAATGAAGCAACTGGACATGCTGTCTTTCTTATTTGCTTTGAGTTTGTTTTTAAAGCCTAACCAGGGACAGATTAGCAAATTATCATTGGCCAGATGCATTACAAAAAGTATGTTTGTTGCATCTTCAAGTAGCATTGTTTGTCTGCATTGTCCAAGACAAATAAATAAATAAGCAAACTACTCTCTTGCAAAAAATTAACCTAAACTAGCAGCTTCAGACCACAGCACAAAACATTTTCTCTAGCAGCATTGAGAGTGAACCTTTCAAGGGCACCAGATCCAAGTCTGCAAACCAAACAAAAATTTCTAATTATTGACATTATGATAATATCACCAACATTTGCCAGTGTTTAGCTATTGCACTACATATTTACAGACCAATGCAGCCTCTTCACTGCACACATTGACTCAGAGCAGACTGAGTGAGGAATCTAGTACAGTTACAACATCTGTAATTCTACTTGGGATAAATACATCATCTTTCTGCGGGCTGCAGGCTGTGGGGGAGAACGAGAAAAAGAAGGAGAAAGAGAGAGAATCGTCCAGCTGTTTTCCATAAGGCCTATGGTTTTTTCCCTTATAAAAATCTCAACAACAGCACCTGTAACAACAGCAGTAGGCCTACAGTTTTAACTTTAAAAAGTTGGTGTTCGGCTTGCATTCAAATTTTTGAGTTATTTGAACTTATAAACAGCATAAACGACATAAACAAAGATTCTTGTACTGTTAACTTACTATTTGAAGTTCAATCAACTTAAAATTTTAAGGCAGCCTGAACACTAACTTTTTAAAGTTATAACTACACTTTTTACAGTGTATTCTGTTGCATCTTGGGATTGCTTAAGTTTTAAATGAGAACTCTAGACACTTATGTCAAAAATGATTAAGATGACATCCTCCCGATCTAGGACGTTAATGACATGCACAAACATACATTACAGTGACAAAGAAAACAAGCACTGGTATCAGCACATAATTGCTTAAAAGGCCCATATCCTACATTTGTCTTTTTTCCTCTGAAGTCCACTTTTAACACGTGTGGGTTCATGCACTAAGACAGTCCATTTTCACACAACCATTTTTCAACCTTTCTTTATCCCTTAGCATCGAACAGGCTGTTTTTGTTTATACATATTCTGTTACAGAGCCTGTATCAAAGCCAAAATTTTAATGATCATTGTCAGTATTGAAAAACATAAGCGATTCCAGCCCTAGCTGATAGTAACACATGCTCTTTTTGTCCTGAATACATTTAGAGCCAGGAGAAAGAGAGCATGTGATTTTCCACCTGGGATTTGACCCTGGGTGTGACCTTTCACTCAGATCACATGACTCCAGCATGACTCCATTTGGAGAGACTGTTATCATCTGCAAAAAACCTGGAAGGGCCTGGTCTGTGCCAGCAGGGCTGAATTTTCCACCCTTAGCCTTGGCTGCCTCAGCAGTGGTTTAAAAATGTGAAGGCTGGAAAGAGGAGGAGCAAGACAGAGAGAAGTTCATAGTCGGCCTCTTCTTGCACTCTATCTGATCTGTTACCTGGATTACAGCTGTGGCTTGCATCTGAATAAAACGCTCCAAAACTTAACCGAATGTGCAACATTCTTCTATCTTTTTGTTCTTATAACTGCCGTGTGTCTCTACCAGACAGTCATCTCTGGAGCAGACATTAGCAGCCTGATCACAGGTTGCATGTAACACAAAGAGATGATGTCAGCTTGAGACGTTTTATTACTGTCAGGGCTTATTTCCCAGGCACTGACTGGTTCTAGGCTAAAAAAGGATCTTCAGAGGTGAATCCCCTTAGTCCGTGTAATTTAGTTCAGCTCTAGGCTTGATCCCTGTCTGGGAAAATGGCCTTATGAACCCGTTGTACAAAGGGTAAAACACCTCACCTCGTAACAACTGAAGGGGGCGCACTTGCGTGTGGTAACATTACTAGAGATGGTATACTAGTATTAAAATGTAGAATATAAAATATATATTTTCATGTGAGTCATGTGAACATACATGCATAATCCAGATACATATTTTTATTACTGTTCTTTATATAAAATCTTTACTGTATTGCTCTGCAATTCTAAGCCTAGACTTGTGCTAAAATTGATTCTGACCCAATGCATAAGCTTAATATGTGTAACAGCATAACCCTAAGCAAAACTGTGCCTGTAAACCTAATCCTAACCTGAACCATAAGCAAAGAAACATCAACATTTTTTTTACTTTTTAGCTTTTTAAAACACATGGCATACTTTTAATTAAGGGTCAAATGAGTTCCTCAATTCACTGAAAAAAATGTGGTTGCAGATAAATTAAATATATTAAATAAACACAATTGCTTACTTTATGTTTGCTTGTTTTGGCAATAACTGTGTTTTAACCTTTTACATTTTATCCATTTACAATTTTTTCAGTGTTTTTGGAAATTTACACATGTTTTGTAAGGACAAAAATGTCCTCAAAAATGTATCAAACAAATACACACACACACACACACACACACACACACACACACACAAATGCAGTCTTATAAATGACTGCGTCTGGCTGACTAAGAAGGCCAGATGTATGTTGCCACTTGCTCACACTAATGCTTTCCTGTATTTCACAATTTAGCAAAAACCTTTGGAATCGGAAGCAAAACAGCGTTTATTACTCGCAGATTCCACATGTAGTTCATATAGTATATAGAGGGGCTTATAGGTACATTTATAAGCACTAGAGATGGCATATTGGTATCAGTGGGAATTGACATGGAGCCAAAACGCTGGATCAGATATCAGAGAGAGAAAAAATAATGAATCTGATTCAATCCTGTAACAACTTTATCCTGAAATAGCATTCACTCCCATGTGATGTGTTTATCTGTGTATTTCCTCATGCGGGGTAAAAAAAATCAGTATAGGTATTGGCCAATGCTTATGGTTAAAATATTGTTATCAGTATTGTGATCAGAAAAGAAAAAAAGCTGTATCGTGCCATCTCTATAAAGCACATAAACAAACTTCATAAAAATGGAATAAACCTTATAAGGCTTCCTAATGTGAATCTACTTAGGCCTGTGTTGCACAGACACATGCTTTCCTTTTTTATTTTGGGAGGGTGTACCCATTGACTTCTGTCTTGTTGTAACTAAATACTGCTGTGTGACAACTGAAGGGAAATTCCAGCACTTTTTGAACATTTCTGCATAATTCAATTGTTATGATGTAAACAGAGTCATTCAGAGTGGTCTGATGTTAAATGACGCAAACCAACTCAGACTTCTTTAGGGGTTTTTTGTCTGTATTTTTGGTAACAAGAAAACAGGGCCAAAGGTTTATCTCAAAGCTCTCTTAAACAATGTCTCAGGCATCAGGCAGCACATTCATAACCATTTAGCATAGAAATTTTCTGTAAAGGAAGCTTTTTTGGACAAATTCAACTCTTAAGACGTCTGGTTCCCATCACCATCACTGTGAACAATTCTGATTTGCTAAGTTTCCCTACATCAGAACATTTCACATCAAAATACTCTGAATGACTTTGTTTACGTCTTAATCATGTACTTATGCAGACATTTTGAAAACTCGGTGGGATTCCCCTTTAACCCAACTCTAACCTTAACCTAATCAAAAAGAAATCTTTTATTACTTTAAATAAAAGTTTTTGTTTGTTTAACTTTTTCCCCTCACGTGCACCAGCTGTGAGCACATCTGGCCTGAGCAAAGGGCTGAAGATCACACCTTCTCAGAGCTCCTGATGAGTGCTGGCTCGGTCTTAGTTTTAATTGCGTCCAAACGGATAGCAGAGCACTAACCTCTGGTCTGACTTCTTTCTCGCCGTTTCCCCTCTCAGTCAGGAGGACGGTGGTCAGCAGCAACAGCAGCACCGGCCTTAACATTCCTGCAAGCCTCCAAAAACACACACAAGAAACACACAAAAAAACAACTTTTCCCTCCGCCTTCTTCTGCCTGATGTTTCTGCCTCTGCTTTTCCAGAGTCAAATGGTTCCAAAGTGGGGAAAAATCCTGAAACGTGTCCTTTTCTCTCCAACAAAAGCCCGAAAAATGCCCAAGGCTGTTAAATTAGGGGGGTAAATTGTGAAACAGGCCCAAAAGTGTAAATGAAACACGTAGACTTAAATAATAATCACCACATATGAAAACCTACTTAGGCTACAGTTCTGTGCAAAAAAAGCTTGGAGGAAAAAGCTGTCAGAGAAAGGCAGAGCTGTCCGTGAGCATGATGATGAGCTGCTCTACAGCGCTTCGTGTCTCATCTTGTCTGCTCTGGTCTCTTTGTGATCTCTCCGCACTAGGTTTGCTGTGTGAAGAGCTGCAGACGTGGTTGATCGTTTCGTGGTGTTCTTTCTAACAGTGCAGGAAGCGAGGAAGAGGCAAAGAAAAAAAGTTTCTCCCTCCCCCCTGGACAAACAGACTCACTCCTTACTCAGAGCATCAGCTGAACTCACTACTGGGCTTTTAATGGCAGTCTTTGGCCCAAATTTCACCAAAAAGCTCCCAAACAACCACCAGAACCGAGCATTTTTTCTGATTTACACTTAACGCAATACTGGGCTAAACTTTTGACAAAGGCCAAATCTGTTTTTCTTTAATATACAAAACATAAGAAACAATGTAGTGTACAAAATGTAGTGCACGTGTTTATTTGAATTATTAAATTGTTGAAAAACCTGAAATTGTGCTTTTTATTTATCTGGACAAATAATTTACATTAAGCATCAGCTGACTTGAGAACTGGGAGTTCAGCAGTGATATTGTGTCAAATCTACTCGAAAGGTCTGCATTTTAATTACCAAAGAACTTGACTTTGACTTATAACAGTCTTTTTTACGCTTGTAATGTGTATACGGACTTATTTTGGTGGTTTCAGAAGTGAAGACCAGGCGGTGGTCCCAGCGCCACAGCGCGCCGCAGCGGCGCCCCCTAGTGCCTGATATGCGGCATTACCATATACAGTCAACGGGTATCACACATCAAAACGTCACCGAGTGGTTGCTCAGTTACGCGATGACGTCGCCAGGACGTTCGTGGGCGGCCCTTCGATCTCTATCGGACCGACGCGGAAGTGGCGGAGAGTGAATGTCAACAACAGAAAAAGAAATACGGAGAAAAGGTACGAATTCTGGCCTGTTTCCTTCCACGGCCCGTGAAGACGATACTGTAGTTGATGGGGTTGCCGGATAAAGAAATATCTGGGGTACGGTTGCGCTGTCGGTGGAGGAAAAAGTGAAAAAAAGAAACGTGAACAGCTGCTGGCTAGCGTTAGCTTAGTTTAGCTATCGTTAGCTAATAAAGTCAGAGACGTTGAGACGGACCGGAGCTTTAAGGGGGATATAAACCTGCTGTCAGTGGGGCTCACAGAGGGGATAACCCCAGATGTGTCGTAGAATTTGTTTGATATGTGTCGAAATGCCTCCGTTTGTCAGTGAGTGTTGGTGCGGTTTATAATCGAAACCAAACACGAGTCTGCGTCACTGCTGGGCTGGGAAGAGAAACGAGAGTCGAAACTGGTCTCATCTATATTCATACGGTGCACTTCCTAAACCCTGATCTACATTTTCTATTCTTAGATTTCTTATGTTCTTGTTATGTCCTTTTGTAGACCTGCTTTACAGATCTGTGTGGTTTAAATGGTGTCATTAATTTGGTCCGAACAGTTTAGCAAGTAGGTTAACGTTAATTTCGTTTCTGTCTGCTCATTTTGTTTGTTGTAGTTGTTTAGTTACTTGAGCCCAAAGTCGAGCCATTTCCCACTGAACAGCCCTCACTTAAGTTTTCCACTTACACCCAAAACCCCTGCTTTGTGAAATTTCTGAAAATACTCTCTGTTGCTGTCCCTTTTCGATGTTTTAGTGTTGTGTTGTGTTTCTCATTCACAGCAAGAAGCTTCCGCCGCGATGACGTCCGCTGCTGTGGAAAACTAACCGATTTCTCGACATTATTTTTTACAATGGAGCTGGACTCGCTTTTAATTTGCTTCACACAATAACATTGTGGGTTTTTGTACAAAACAGCATGGCTGCCCCTCGCAGCCTTAGCATCTTCAGTATTTTATTTTTGACAGGTGAGATGTTTGTTCTAGAGAAGTGCTAATAACAAAATATGTACTTGTGTTCAGTGTTTATAGTGTTGGTTTATGGCAGCTTTTTCTAACATGCTTTTTAGCTACAAGTTAAAATGTTTCCTTTACGTAAATAACTAACTACATAAAATGCTTTTAAGTTACAGGTTAAATTTAGGAAGTGTGGAGTTTATGAAAGTGCTGTGTATGATAACTGATTCCATGTTTGTCGAAATGTAAAGGATAATTCATGTAGGTGTAATAGCATAACAGAATTTGAGCTTTACTGATTGTGTGTGTTGAATGATGTAATGTCGGTCTAAATGTAAATTAAATGAATCTAAGAGAGATTAAGGTTTACTTGTCTCATGAGTACAAATGGAGCTGGCGCAGCTGCTTCTCCAGTTTCTATTGGTGGGGGATATTAGCTAAACTGCCACTATTCCCACAGGCATATTTCAGTCTGTGTACTGTATACTACAAAGTGTTGCCAGTGACCAAAATGTTGATTTTGTCTCTTTCCAGCAGCCTGCACCCTGGAGCGGGCCTCCAGTTTGAGTGAGTGAAAAGATTTGCAACTTAAATTTTATGCCATGCACAAATTGTATTCAGTTCTTGATTCAGTTTAGACTGCCGTTCTTTGAATTACAGGTTTTATTAGTTTCTAAGTGAAATAAGTTAACATATCCTCTATAGAGAACACACTGCTGCATATTTTAATGCACAATTAACTTATGTTCACTTAGAAAATCAACAAAACATGTATGTTGACTGGCGGTATTTAGAGTTCTCCATACAACTGTGTGGTAAAGTTTATGTATATAATTGTAAACTAGTGTTATAGTATTGTTTTGGAGAGTTAAATAGATTTCATGATATTACAGATGTGATAGACTTGATAGCAACACATCACTGTTGCTAAAGCTTTGAAATATGTTAGGGCTCTTTTCTGATCTACAAGGCTTGGTTGTTTGCTTGTGTAATCAAATTTGAGCCCTGCAAATATCGTCTTTCTAGTTCTTTTATCATATAGTTCCTATCTCTTATGTTGGCTGACTTTTAAATGGGTGTGGACCATAAACTGTTCCTCAGTGTAGTTTTGACTTTGTGACATCATATCTTTATGCGTAAAGTTTTCCCAGAGTATTTTCCAATAAACTTTCTTTATGATACCATGATTTTCCCATGAACTGAAAGATAAGACAAATCTTTTATAAATACTTACTTTTTATCAATTGCTGTTTTGTATACAAAAAGTCAGGTCATTTTAATTTTTGTCTGTTTTATTGTAGCAATAAATTAAGTGTTATATTGTAGAACCTTTGAGGCAGTTCTGTTTACAGTGCTGTTTATGACTCTGTATAACCCTGTACTCCCCTTATTTTTTTCTGGCAGTGTATTGTGGCAAATCACCAAAAATACAACAGGACAGGCAAGGAGAAATTTATAGTTCAGGCCTTCATGGCCTTCTAGGGCCAGTTAACTGCAGCTGGACAATTATCTCAGAAGTGGGAGAGCGTGTCATTCTCAGGTACTGTCCCCTCATACTATAAATAAAGAATATAGAGACTTTTCTTTATGTCCAAAAGGTGTGGTTTTATACAACCAGATATTTGGGAAGAAATGAAGAAAAGATGCACTGCTATAACAGTGGCTTTAAAACAGAGACTATTGAACTTAGAAAACTGGTCAAAATCCAATTTCTGTCTCAGAAGCAAGTCAAAGATTCTGTTTCAACTATTTATAGTCAGTATGTGACAACAAATGTTGGAAAACATCCTGTCTGCAGACACTTAAAGAGTCCAGAAGTAGTCTGTTTTGAAAACAAAACAAAGAGCTTATAAATAATTTCCATGTAATTTCCTTTTTGTTATGAACTTGATGTAATGTATAGACATCTGGAATTAAATGGATTATATATATAGTGTGAGGGGAAATTGTAGAACTACTTGAAATAGCACAGTAGCAAGTGATAGTGTTTAAGTTGTGAATTCATAAGGTACACTAAAAATTGCTACACTTACATATATTCCTTCTACACATAGTAAAATTTCTTGTATTGTACATTAAAGGGAGATTCTGGTCATGTTATGTTGTGCCTTGTCTTGCTGCTGATTCCTCATCCTTGTCTTTGTCTAAGTTTTTCTCAATTTACTGTGAAATGTGGACGAGAATGGGTAATCGTGGCACCGCTTAATGGCACACCCATCCCACTTTGTGGTAACCAGCTGCCTAAGCCACTCGAGTTGTATGGGGGAAACATTACAGTAACGCATCACTACTACCCACACTTCTACCCTGTTGCAGGATTTCGCCTGTCATATATTAAAGGTAGAGTGAATATTATGATGCTATATGTCTTTTATATTCAAATGGTCAAGGCAGTTGAAAAGGAATATAAAACCTCTGTCTTCTGTCTGTGTCCAGGGTCTGGTCCCTGTTACCCAGGTGAGTTTGAGTGCTACAGTGAACGCTGTCTTCCTGCGTCCTGGCAGTGTAACGGCCAAGTGGAATGTCTCGGGCAAGGCGATGAGCTTGGTTCTGACGAAGAAGGCTGCGATTTTGTCAACCTCCAACCTCACTTTGACCACAACCCCTCACTCCTCCCGACTAAAACCCCCACCAGTGTAGCCATGGACTTTGACACAGAGAAAGGCCATCTGCCACACAGAGAACCCAACGTGCCACTTCTCTCTCAAGGAGGGCCTTGTGGAGGCTATCTGCAGGCGTTTTATGGCTCTTTCCTCCCCCCTTTGCTGACAGGAGCCCAAATGGAGTGTGTGTGGACAGTTGACCCCCAGGACCCACGGCCTCTTAAGCTGGAGCTGCAGCAGCTGGTGTTGGGGTCAGCAGACAACCTTATTATCACTGACCAGCCAGACGGTGCCGGAAATGTCATTAAAATTGTGAGTGTGTAGTAAGTGCGTGTGAAAGTGTGGTGTGAATGTAGTTTGAAAAGCTGGATTATATTTGCAAATTTTGGCATGCAGTGCAGTAGGTGTACCTTTGATGTACCTACACTCATTGAGCCTATTATCAGGTATACTAGCTTTATAGATGTACTTTGTACAATAGATGCAATTACTGACTGGCAGCAGTGTGGCTTGGATTTTTAAACACTGCAGTGTCATTGCTGGGTTTGGAATAGTCCACTATCCGAACATATCCAATGAGAAACTGACCACTAATTGAATGTTAAAGGATTACACAAATTTTATGCATAAAAACAACTCTGTAATTCTTAACATACAACGTTTATCAACTAGGGGTGGGTCAGAATGTTTAAATTTGTGAATAGTCATTAAAGTGTAAAAAACTGGCTAAAGGGTAATGCAAACCAGAGGAGAAGGTCTACCACACCATGCCACCAGTGGTTTTTGGAGTGTGCAAGCAGATAGCGCAAAAAAAGCATAGCTAAAGCACTTAGGAAGTGTCACAGAGATATGCCTATAAAAACAATAGGCGAATGATTGTATAGTTTTAATGGATAAAGCGTTTAGCATCATATAGTGATTTTATTCTTTGGTATTAGCTAACTAACTTGTTTTTTCCAGGCTAAAAGGTTTGAGGTTAAATATGATGCAGCTTGATTTGTACAGTTATTTTGAGGTGAAGTAGATGCTTACCATCTATCTGTTTATCTTAAAGACTTTAGACTGACACTTTTCTTTTAGTAAATTTCAAGGCAGATGTCATTTACTATATATTTGGACTCAGAATCCAGGTTTACCATAGAGTTCTTTTACACCTATCTTGTTTGGTGTGGACCAATCAAACTTTTTCTTTAGTTTAGTCCACTTTGTAAAGTTTGTGAATACTCCACCCATACTTGGGCACACACAAAACAAATTATCCGTTGTCTGCCAGCCGAACCAAATAAAAATATATAAAATTAATAATAAGAAAAAAAGATTGTTTTTTTTTTTTTTTAAAATCAGATTTGGACTTTAGAAAACAAACTAGGTATGAAAACAGTCTCATGGGCAGGTTTAAGGGTGACAGGTTTGAGGGTGACTGATAAATTGTGCAGCTATAAATGGGCTACAGTCAGTTGTAGTATACATATTTTAGGCAAACTAATAAAATGGCCAGTGAGCATAGTATGACATTGTTTTTGACATTAATATATTATGTTTGGCAGATTGTAGAAATATCTTTTTGATGCATTGTTGTCTTTAAAATTAAAGAAACCTTTACTTTTTTTTCTTCATGTGTGGTAGATCACATCTACGTCCAATTTTAAAACAGTGGAGGTGGAGTCCAAGACTGGTCTGCTCTCTCTAACCTATCGTGCACAAGCTGGCTCTGAGGGGCGGGGCTTCAATGCCACCTATCGAATCGCTGACTACTGCCTGCCTTGGGAGGGTCTGTGTAAGGGTTCTGAGGGGGGCTGCTACACACAGAAGCAGCGGTGTGATGGTCACTGGGATTGTCCAGAGACCGGTCGGGATGAGGAGGGGTGTGGAGGGTGCCCAGCTGGCCACTTCCCCTGTGGGGCAGTGCAGAGGGCAGGTCACGTAATTGGCCGGCCTTTCTGCTACACCGCTACTGAGAGGTGCAACTACCAGCTGAACTGTGCTGATGGCAGCGATGAGCGCGAATGCACTGTCTGCCAGCCAGGAACCTTCCACTGCGACAGCGACAGGTAAGTGTAGGAGTACACACTGTGGTGTTAGTGCAGATATACTTCATGTTTTAGGTTTATTACAAACACATTGTTTTGTGACAGGGCTCTAAAAAAGACCTAGATGTATTAACAAATATACCAAATAATTCAAATACATATACGTGAAAGCAGTCCAAATAAATACCCTTGTGGTGTTACTATAGAAACCAATATATAGTAACTGTCAAACAACAAGGAGACGCATTAAATTAAATTTGGCATTAAATTTGTTTATGTGCATCCCAGTGGTTTGATATTAATATAAGCTTTCTAGTCTATCTAAGCTATGATCATGGAGATGGCATGGGTTGATTATCATAATCTAATTATCATGATGCCTCTAGACCAAGCCTGGATTAAAACATGCCGAGACTGACCAGGCTGTTTGAGACATTTAGATTTGTAAACAGTGTTGCTCCACTGAGTCTTCTGGAATATTTCTGGCGTTTTGCAGCTTTTTCTGTAGTATCGCACATGTGATGATAACTTTTTGACACCAAAACAAACACAAAAAATATTCACAAAGTTCCAGAGGGCTATACTTTTGCAGGAAGGAAGGGAGACATTTTGTCAAACAGAAATAAGAAAAAAAGGAACACAGATATTTCAACCAGCAGGAAACCCGTATGTGGATAAATGTGTAGGTGCATATGAAGGGGGCATTTACCACTGTAAAGTCAAACTATGCTATCATGCATTTAACAGGTCCATAAAAGGTCTTGTCTCTATACGGCTTATGTAAATGTTCTGATTCTGTACAGTTTCTAAGAGCTTAGTTGGTTAATGTAGTTGAACATATGAAGCACCAAAAGCTACTTGATTGCTGATAGTGCCCACTTATGGAGAATCTTCAGCCTGCTAAACTCGAGTTTGTAATTGTCTGAATTATGAGCTAGGTGCTTTGCATGTAAAATCATTAAATTTAGACATTTTGTTGGTTATGATGTATGTACATGTTGACTGATCATTTGTTTGGTGTTTGAATTTAAAAGAACACTAGATAAATTGAGCTTGTAATATGACTTATGGTGCATCAGAGGAAGTGTATGAATGTAAAAAAATATGTGGACTTTATCGTCTCCCTGTGCAGATGCGTGTTTGAGAGTTGGCGCTGTGACGGACAAGTGGATTGTAAGGATGGCACTGATGAGATGAACTGCACCGTGACTCTGCCTCGAAAGGTCATCACTGCTGCAACTGTGGGCAGCCTGGTGTGTGGACTGTTGCTGGTCATTGCTATGGGTTGCACCTGCAAGCTATACTCACTTCGCACTCGTGAATACAGGTACATTTAAGATGTTTGTGTTTGTGTGTGTGTGTGTGTTTTTGTTTGTGTGTGTGTGTTGCCATTTGTTCTCCAGTCTCATTAAGCATTGTAGAAGAGTCAGAGCTGTTGTCTTAACAAAGGGGAGGCTGCAGAAAGTATTAAATGAAGGGATGCCAACAATTGTGGCACATACAAAGTTGGGAAGAAAATCAGTTTCCTGGTAAGACTTAGTTTTTTTTCAGGCATTTACTTTAAATAAAGGTTAGATTTTTGTATACCTAAATAAACACATTATGTACACTAGAATGTTTTCAGTACTTTCTATTAGACAAGTTGCCATATAAATATCATTACTTGCTCTTTAAACGGCAAACTGGCATTGAATTTGTAAATGAAAAATGACTCGTTCTTTAAATAACAAGTTAAGTGCTACATTAGAAATATGAGCTGATTGGCTATTCAACACAAAGAGTCATTCATAAGTATGCTACAATATTGTGGTACTGGTGTAGCAGCATCATTCAAATACCAGTTGAGTAAATATCTTTTATCTTTTAAATATGCTGTTCTGGCAGCTTGTGGTGGCCCAACACCTTACTAAGACACTTAATGTTGGTTTTTCCCTTTAATTTGTCAGTCATCTGTAATTTTTTATAGAATTTTTTTTTTTGTTTAAGTTACCTTTGTAGGCCACAGTATTAGACAGACAGTAGTGCTGTAGTGCTGTATTGGACAGACAGTGCTTCAATGAGATGTGTCTGATGCTCTTGCTCATTTTGATGACTGTATGATCTCTTTTGCTTTAGTTTGTTTGCCCCGATTAGCCGCCAAGAGGCGGAGTTTATCCAGCAACAGGCCCCGCCCTCCTATGGCCAGCTGATTGCTCAGGGAATAATTCCTCCAGTAGAGGACTTCCCCACTGAGAATCCCAATGAGGTAAAGAAAAAAAAAACATTCAGACTTTACAGATACAGGTTTTAATTTGGACAGCTCTATCCTGTTTTTCCTGTTTGTTTTACACATGGCTGTAGGTAACACAAAAGAATGTAGAGAATTTCCTAACAGAACAGTAATACTGTCAGTCTTTTATTCACATGCTCAATTTCATTATTTAGACATCTTAATAGTCCAGTAGCTCAAACATGGTTGAGAAAAATGCCACAAAATAGTAAATCCCTTCCTGCTGATTCAAAGTGGCCATGCACTGGCTGTATCAGGTTTGGCTTTGGCTGCATCTGTAGATGCCTGGCATTCTTTTCGAAAGAATGAGTCCATTATTATCCTGAAACATAGCAAGGCCAGATGCACAAGTTCTGACTCTTTAATGTTTGATTATACTTTTTTTTTTTTTTCTCCCCACCCTCTCTCAGCCCACCACTCTTTCTCTGAGAGGACTGCTTCAGCTCCTCAGACAGGACAATATCTCCTCACCTCGGCGACGGCGCAGGCCGCGATTTGTCCGCCGTGCCATGCGTCGCTTGCGGAGGTGGGGCATCATTCCCAGGCCTGCATCTAGGTCCACGCAGACCACAAGTTCTACTTCTCAACAGACAGAGGCTGCTCCTAACGGCCAAGAGTCTAATCAGTCAGGTTCTGGAGGCTCCTCCTTGGCCAGGGAAGTGGCCAACCAGCCCTTGCCTCAAAAAGTACCCCCCCAACCGACAGAGCAGCAACAGCAAGCAGAGGCTCAGGCTCCACCTCCCCCTCCTCCTCCTCCTTCACCTCCACCTCCTCCCTCCAGCCAGCCTGCCGATGCTCCAGAAACACCACATGCCATTCCTGTTGCCATTCCACCCAGTAGCCCCTCACTGGCCTCTCTCTTCCATTCACTGGGGCTGAGTATCTCTCTTTTCAGACCCTCGTCCTCCTCTACTGCTCGTCCTCTTTCAGCCTCCCCCTCCTTTTCCTCCTCTTCTTCAGATGATGAGGTGCTGCTGATCCCTCTCACTGATGACACAATCTCTGAGGATGACGTGCCCATGCTGACCTGAGCTACCGCTGCTGCTTTCTCCGTTGCTCTGTTGCCTTTCTGTTTTTTGTTTCCTCTTGCACACTTTTACTTTCTCACCACTAAATTATGATCTGGGCAGCACATAAGCAGCATCTTAGTTGTAGTCTGTGCTGTCAAGGTGCCTTAACTCAAATGAGTTTGTTTGCCTGTCTTAAGATTATGGAGTATTGAGACTTGAGTATGTATGTGGATCTATGTTTGTATGTTGGATGTGCACTTACTCAGAGATTGTGTGATGGAGGACAACTTTGCACAGAGAATCTTCCCTAGCCTCTCCTAATGAAATTGTATTGTCTTAGCCTTTGCTAAATTTACTGCACCATGCTACACATATACAGTCTGGCATTGTAGGGTTTATTTTTAACAGAGTGTTAAAGAGTTCCATTTACTTACATCTCTGTATGTATATGGTACTGTGCAAAACTTGGAGACCACTTTTCATTTATGTAATTTCCAGTCAAAACGGCTATTAAATATTAAATATAAGATAATCTACTTGCATAAGGAAGGGGAAAATATAGGGAAAATAAATGAAAAACAGGAGTTTCAAAAACTGGAGTTCAAAAAACGATTAAAAGAAAAACGGATTTAGTGAGAATATTTGCAATTCAAACAAAGATGTGGGTGTTCTCATAACAATGGACTGACCACCTCAGAGTCCAGAACCCAGCATCATTGAATGTGTTTAAGCAGAAAATACAACCAACTGCTAAGACTGAATGCTGGAACTGAGGAAAAATATTCCTGCAGATGTTAAAGCTGTAATAAAAACAAAGGGTGGACACAGTAAATATTGACAAATATAATAGTGTATTTAGCTATTGAAGTTTCTGTGTAAATTTCTGTTGTCCTGATGTTGAAAAATGAATAACTAGCACTTAATGGCCTTTTTGCCTGGAAATGAAATAAATGAAGGGTGATCTCTGACGTTTCACAGTACTGTAGGTGTGTATGTACCTCATACTGCTATACGTTTAGCTGTGTGTATTCCTCAGAAGTGCCTTTGAATGAGCTTCCTGTAGATCACTAGACACGATGTGACTGTATGTACTTGCACATAAAAACACACATGCACAAAAGTTTACACAATGACTTTGTATTCACCCTGGTTGTGTCTATGGTAGTGCATGGCAATTGTGGCAATAATTTTGAAGTGTGTAAGAGTGTGTGGGCACCTGTTAGAGTGTGTATGTATGTTTGTGCGTGAATGCAGTCACTCAGACAATCCCTCTCGGTGCCTGAGGCAATTGTACGCACCACCAAGCCGAACAACATCACGGTTGCTCTGATGATAACTTTTCTTTTAGATTCAGCTTTTGGCTCAGTGGTCAAAGAATGAAACATATTAGTGCCATAAATATGATCATCTGATCTCGCCTGCTCTTACGGATAACTTCTGTTTCCTCTGTCAATATTGTTTTATTACTGAATGTATTTTTTGAAATGCCTAGTAATGTGTAATGTGTTTCTGGTCAGTGGTGATTGCAATAGAAAGCTGTGGTTTGGAAAGGAAAATTAAGTGATTTTATTAGGACGTTTCACTGTATATATGCTAAAAGAACTAGAAAATTCACAATGAATAAATGATTTGCACTTTTACTATGAGTGAGTGTTTCATCATTATTTAGTGTTTTTTAATTGCATTAAAGCTTTGAGCCTTTTCATTTCCTCCACATAGTGGTGGAAGGCGTGTTAAGTCAGAGAGGAAGTGCTGACAGATCAGTACAACTGCAACTAGTGAGGAGGTGCTACATGGATGACTATAAAGACTTATTAGCACATCAAAGCCTTGACTGTCCACAGTTTCATCATGCCAAATAGGAGTCATCCTAGCACTCTGTAAGTTGTATCCAATTCTATAGAGAGGAAAAAGAGGCAATGCTGCAAAATGGCTATTTCTATCAGATTTTTTATTATTTTGGTAAGGAGTCCTGAACGCCAGGGACAGGTGAGTACAACTTGACTCCAAAATGCATACTTTTTTTTTAAATGTACTTCCATCTTATTTAACTGATTATCTGACCACTATACAGTTTATATTAAAGAAAAGGGAAGCATCCATTGTGAGAAGTAGTAGAATAGTAGTATCAGTAGTAGACTAAGTAGTTTCACTGTACCATGGTCTGCATTAAAGCAAGTGCAAAATGTGCTAAACATTGTGGCTTTGCTTGATAGACTGGTTTGTCTTTAAATATTGATGGCTCTCTAAAATGGTTATTTTGTGTAAGTAGTTGAAATACATAACAAAATATATCAATTCAGGGTGTATACAGCTATGAAAATACCAAAAAGTACAACTAAAAAACAACTAAGATAATAATAATAGTTTTGTAGTAACTTATCAGGCGGAATCAAACTGGATTGTAAGTCAATATTAAATATAATAAAATAGAATTTGAATAGTAATAGTAATAGCAATAGAAAGTAGGGCAAAACCTGAAATGTTTAAATCAATATATCTATTGATGTATCAATGTAGTGTGTCGCACAATGCGTATATTAAAAAAGCACATTGAAATAATTGGCAGTCTAGTATAATTACATTGTTTTGAGTTTTTAAACATTGTTGCATGACACATAAATGTGCATAAAAAAGATGTGAAAGTCTAATAAATAGCATATTTATGTGCTATTATATACAGATGTATACAAATTGTTTTTTTACTAACTAATGTGCTTAAAGTTAGAAGAAGTGTACGCCATGTAGCTATATGATCTATGAAAATACAAATACTCATTTAATCAATATTAAATGATTTGGATCAGGACTGGGGGATGAAACTCTAGCAAAGCTGTCCAGTCACTGTCCCTGTTTGTGGCTTAACTTAACCACCCATACATTGTGTGATGTTTTCAGATGAAGGCTGTTCAAAACCACATTTCTTTACTTCTGCTGCTGTTGTTGTGGCTTCTTTGTGTTTCGGGAAAGTGCATCTCTGATGAGGTGCAGAGTTCTATCAAAGTGGTGTCTCTGCCCATCTATCAACCTAGCTCTTCTGACTGGTCCTTCAATGAAGCTGAAATCAAACACAAAGTGTCCAACATCGCTGATTTAGATGATGGACTGATTCATCTTCAAACCGCCAAGAAACACCGGAGTGCCATTTCACAACATCCTCAGTCTCATAGGTCTAAAAGAATGAACAGGGGTCAGACTGAAGCCACAGCTGTTCAACCACAGCCAATTAGAATCAACACATGGACTCCTAGAGAGAGTCCCATCCTCTCAGACTGGGAGAGAGAGAGAGTGGAAGCAGCAGTTAGTGAAGCTATCAGCACTGTGTCCAACTTACTCTCAGGTAATTCATTGTTTCTGTGATGTCACATGAACTAACACGTTTACATATATCCATCTATTCAGTCTATAGCAGTTTAAGCAAGCCCATTCACACTGAACCTCTAAGCAGTGTTTCAGCGATGAAAGCTTTTTGAATGAGGCACAGTACAGGACAACCAATCAGAACAGATCTTATTTACATATAGTGTTGGTCTTAAAGGCACAGTAAGAAAAACAGTCTGTTTATTTAAAAAAAAACCAAAAAAAACAGGCCCTTTAAAAAAACAGGTTTTGTTCCTGACTTCTCACACATCAAATCACAATGTATTGTTTTTTTTTTTTTGTTTATTTATATTTATTGCAGTCTTGGTTATTTTCTGAACAAATAAACGTTTTCTCTCTAGACAAATAGCTTTACATACCATATTCTTAGACTTGTGTATAGTATTGCAGAACACCATTTATATAATAAAAAAATAACACCTATGGAATTATGTGGTGGAAAAATCCTATATTTTTTTATTCTACCAAGGCATGAACTTAACAATTTATATTTATCCTAGCATTAAGACACAACCCTGTCTTTAAGATTATTAGACACATATATTCAATCAAGTCCAAACTTGACACTGGAACTATACCTACCTGGGGACCAGAGTCCAGTTGATTATTGTCCACTGTTATTAACAATGTTTCCATGTTTCATTGTAATTACAACATGTTCAGTTCAGGATTAAAACTGTACAATTGCACTTGTACTTATATTCACTGCTGTGTTATTTATGTGTCCAAAGTAATGAGGGTCACTGAGAGGCTGCTGCTGAACAGAGACATCAACAAGTACTGCAGATTCATCTGGAGGAACAGCAGCAGCGCTAACTATAACAGGTTTGCTTCATTCCCCTCCTCTGCATAAATGCCTTTTCAGCATTCGGTTCTGCCGTTCAAGAAAATACTCATTTAATCCTGTTTAGTATAATTTTTCTGCCTTTGATTCCATTTAAGAATGTAGTTTTTGTCATTTATAATAATATTATTTTACCTATGAACTATTCTTTTGTTCTTTTAGTATGTAAATGAAAAGAATGAATGTAGCTCACCCCTTTGCCCCTCACTGTCATTTCATAATAACTATAATTACTCAATCAGGACTTTGTATTGCTCTATTTAGGTGTGGTAGAGCCAATGAGAAGTACAGAACCGAGAGCTGTCTGGGTGTGACAGTACGTCAGCATTTTATTCGTACACTACAGATCAAAATGTTGGAATCATTTATTATCACATTATTTACTTTAATTGTTATATTCAGAAATAATTGATACTGCGGAGATTTAAATTTTGTAAACTGCACCCTTTAAAAAAGATGGTTCTTCATGAGTTCTTTAGTAAAGGCAATGGTTCTATATAGAACCATGAGTTCTGTGTAGAGCCATTTGCATGCTTAAATGGTTCTTTGCATGGTGAAATGGTTCTTCAGACTGATGGAGAATGGGTTGTGTAATTTTTGAAAATAGTTCTATATAGTACTAAAAAGGGGTCCTTCTACTGTTACAAGCTTGACATCATAGCAATAGCAGAACCCTGATCAAATATATATGCTGTATTTTCAAAAAGGTTCTATACAGAAACATACACAACACATTCTCTATCAATCTGAAGAACAATTTCACCATGCAAAGATGCATTTAAGCACGCAAATGGCTCTACACAGAACTCACGGTTCTATATAGAACCATTGTCTTTACTAAAGAACCCATGAAGAACCATCTTTTTTAAACCTTCTGTTTCGTCTTTTTAACAGAAGGTGTTGTGTAATTGTTTTATTTACTATTTTAGTTTGAATTTTTTGTGGAAGTTATTAAATGGTAAATAATATACTGTTATAAATATAAATGTACCATTATTCTCAATATTTGATCACCACTTTATGTATCTCTTTAGAATGAAATTGTACAGCAAATATTTGCCCGTACAGATCTTGTGAGTCTTGCTTGCTGTTGATTGACAGATCCCAGATGACCACCTGAGTGGCTATGTTGTCTATCCACATCCTGACCAGCCAAGCCTGAAAGTGCTCAAACCAGATGGGCCGGGGGTCCCTGACACTGACTTCCTGCTCTACGTGCTCACACAGAGCACTGATAAATGCAGAGCTGATGTAAGCAATGTCTCTTTGGTTTAATAGCCTTTGGAGTCTTATATTACTCTGAGAACAGTCTTTCCTTTCTGCTTACACTGAATAAGGCACACGTTATTAAGACAGTAGTAAAGTCAAGATTTCATGAATCATCTAAATATGATATAAAGGAATATCACAATTATTACATAATCGCCTGATCACAATTATTTCAGCTGATCGCATTTATTATTGCCCACAGTTATTGGCCTTCACAATCGTATGTTTACATTGCAGCAAACAGGAGGCAACTGCTTCTAAACACATTAAAGCAGAAAGCATGTCTATTGAGAAATGTCATGCTTACAAAAACAACAAACGTTCTCACTTCTAGTGATGTATGACCTTTAGAAGGTGGCTGTGAGTAATGTTTGTTATTTGAGCTCGAGCTGTGTCTGTGGTCAGTTGGTATCATACCTTTAATATGCACTATATTTCATAGTAAAAACAAAAACAATTCAATTTGTTACATTTTTAATTAATTTTTTGATCGTCAGCCAAAATTTCATAAATTAAATCTAAATGTAATGAATTCAATGACTGTAAATGTAATGTGTTATACACACATCAACACAATAGTGAGTATAAACGTGTAATACATTTTTTATATAATTAATGTGATGTACTTTCCTGCATCATTATTTTTGATTATCTGTATCATTTTAAAGGTAGTTTTGTCATGATGAAATACAGGTTGTAGTTAATTCTGGTGATGTTCACCCAGCCTATTCTGACATCTCTCTCAGTCCAGTGTGCTGGCCTATTCTGCACACTGTCAGACGGATGCAGAGGGGCGACCTGTGGCGGGGGTCATGATCATCTGCAAAGAGCCACTGGCCCTGACGGGGTTCAGTCATGAACGCGTGGTGCAGGTAAGTGTGCTTTTAAATTAAATGAAATTAAACGAAATGAAGAGAATAAGAAAATAAGAACATGCCTGCATCAGTGTGAGATTCAGTTTTTATTTCATCTTTGCTATTTGACAGATGGTGATCCATGAGCTGTTCCACATGCTGGGTTTCAGTAGAGAACTTTTCAGCACATGGAGAGACTGTTTCCTCACCTCTCAGAGTCAGTGAAACTTCTAAAGACTTTTTTTTTGTAACAGAGAGACATTTAGAGGTGAATATTGAGTTTATGTTAGCCCTTAATATTTTAATCCAGTGTATGTATTATTGTGTGAGGGTATGTGGGGCACAACCTAACATGGATTTATTTGTGAAGTAGAATGTGCTTTTGAACACTTTATATTCCTATAGCAAAGTCATATGTGAATTTTGACAGCAATCAGACATATTTCTCAATATTCACCATAAGGAATGTTTTTGTAACAAGAAAGTTTTTTACATAATAAATCTTTTTCGATTATTGAATTGTGTTTAAGTATTATTTTAATCATTCTCTTAGGTGCTGCAATATAACACTCACTCAAAATGAGAGCCAGGCAAGCATTACAGATATCATGTATTACAGAAATCATGTAGCCTAAGCAAAATACACTTACCGAACACCTCCTTGTATCCACACTTATTGTCTGTTTTATCACCCCCATTTACCACAGAGGTGCACTTTGTAGTTCTACAATTACAGACTGTAGTTCATCTGTTTCTCTGTATATTTTGTTAGCCCCCTTTTACCCCACAGGCCCACCATAGAGCAGGTATAATTTGGGTGGTGGTTCATTCTCAACACTGCATTGACACTGATGTGGTGGTGGTGTGTTAGTGTGTGTTGTGCTGGTACGAGTGGATCAGACACAGCGGTGCTGCTGGAGTTTTCAAGCACTGTGTCCACTCACTGTCCACTCTAATTGACACATCTTCCTTGTTCGTCCACCTTGTAGATGTAAAGGCAATAGCTCATCTATTGCTGCACAGTTTGTGTTATAGCTTGTGCTGTGAGTGTTGGTAATGATGTATTGGTGTTGTGTGTATTAGGTGTGGGCTGGTGCTCTCATGGTCATGTGACCAACACAGATGAGACAGGACAGATGAGGCTTTACTCTCCTAGTGTGATAAAAGCTCTACATACACACTTCAACTCTACACACACTGAACTGGGAGCTCCGCTGGAGAACCAGGTACACAGACACACACACACACTGGAATTATAGTTCTATACTGAATAAGACATACAGTAAACACAATAATGCAATTAGTAATGTATACATGCTTGTCAATTTTCAAGAACTTCAAACTGACTCTCACTCATAATCCCCCAAGGATGCTGGTGTTGGTGGTCTTTCTTCTCACTGGGAGGCTCGGGTTCTGCAAGGTTCTATCATGACAGCTGCACTGGCAGAACCCTCTCTGGTCCGGATTGACCTGGTTACTCTCTCTGCCCTGCAGGACACAGGGTGGTACTCAGTCAACCTCAGCCGAGCCCAGAGTCTGGTGTGGGGAGGGGGTAAGACATCTACTACTGAGGTTAAAGGCATCTGAAAAAAAAATGTATTAAACTATTTATCTGACAGTAGGAATTTATTAAAAAAGATGATAAAATCAAAAAATACAAATAAACGTTGCATTTTACAGTGTTTTAGCTTTATCTCTCTCTTATGCTCAGATTGTGGTAGGAGTTTTGAGTATGAACTTAAATCCATTCTGCCACACATTTCCTTTCAATCAAACAGCGTAGAGTATAGAGAGGCTGGATAAAATGAAAACAAGTTTGGTATACAAGAACTTTGTTACATCAACATAAAATTTAGCTGTTTATTTCAATAGCAATTTAGCAATTTATTTGAGTTTCACTGGAATAGCATTATCTTTGGCTCAGCATAACCAGTTTTCATTTATTGAAATGCACTTTCATTATTTTTTGTCCAACAACCTTATTGGTTCACTTTTTGAGTGCACTTTTATTATGTTCATCTACTTATGAGCTCCTGAAAGGAAGGCACTTTGTATAAATGGAGCTTGTATGATTCAGCCAATATAAGAATAATAAATACCCTGAAATTAAAGATGAGATTCTGCATGCTGCATAGTCACTGCTTAATTCAAAATCCAATGTGCTGGAGTACAGAGTCAAAACAAACAAACAAACAAAATATATACATTCTGTATGTACTGAACATTACTAAGGGAAATGAAGTATTTGTGTGTGCTTCGTTTGTAGGTGAAGGTGCTCTGTTTGGATCTCTTTCCACCTGCAAGTTCTCATCTTTCTTCTGTACTGGCAGGTAATTAACCTTCTTCTATATTTCACACTGATTTGTCTCATTACTGTGTGAGTTCATGTAGAAGCTCCAGATGGAATGCTTTTACTTTGTTAGTATTTCTGTACTGCTGGTTGTAGCTTGTGACTGAACTCATATTTAAGGCCTGCATATTTCCTCAGTGGACTGGGCTGCCATTACCTTCATCTCCACAAGGGGGAGTGCCAGAGTGATGAGTATTTAGAGGGCTGTCGCATTTATAAACCTTTGGCCAATGGTGTAAGTGTTCAGACCCCCTCTCCTCTCTGACTCTTTTGGGCACACCTTCTCTTCCTTTCAGCCTTGGCCTGGTTGATCTCATATTCACTGCTCCTCAATGCTGTATTTATTTCCTCTCCGTTACAGAGTGAGTGTTGGAAAGAAGAGAATGAAAGAGGGAATGGGGCAGAGGAGTGGCGTGGAGAAATCTATTGCTCAGACAGCCGCTGTTTCCTCTCCAGCCTCATCAGAGAGGTACCAAACATCCTTTGTGCAAATAGACTCTTTATATATAACAAAGTCCTAAATGGTTCTTGGCTTGCTATGAGAAATTCAGTTGGTATAGAACCTTTACATTATATAGAGATCTTTAAAATTAAACGAAGTTCTTTATATTCACACATCTCATTTATAAAAATAGTTATTTATAGAACCATCCATAAAAACAGCATTGCCCTATTTGTTTTATTTTTCTCTTTCCCTTTAAATCATTTAAAATAGTGCAATACAGCAAAACCCCTAGGTTTTTTTAAATTTAGTGTTTGCATAATAAGGTCATTAAAACGTTAACAAAGTAATTCAGAGTGATTTTAATATCAATTGTTCACAGTATTGATGATAGAAACTAGATGGGATGCATTTAATGCCACTAAAAGCCACATCACACAAAGTTATTACATGAATTTTTTAGGAATATATGCCTTGCAGAGGTACTTGCTAGGTGTTGAAAGACAAAATAGTCCCCAAAGAACACTTCTTTTTTCAGATTTGCCATTATTTAGAACCTTGCAGTGATACATATGAGAACTCAGAAGGTGTATAGGTTCACATGTAGTTTTGAACAGTAAATAAAATGGTTATATTTGTGTTGCAAACATTGCAACCCCTGGTTTCTATCACCACCACTGTAAAGAAATCTGAGTTGATAAGTTTCTCTACAATGAACCATTTCATATCATTTGATTTATGCTATAATTTTGAAAAGAAAAATGGTGGAATTTTCTTTTAACTCAGCAATGAAGATTTTGCTGTGTACTTTGCATTAAAAGGTCTGTATCCTACATTTTTTTCTGTTTTGTTTTTCCCTATCATGTGTTTTTATGTGCCAAAACAGCCACGATTAATTTTATCCAACCTCTCTTGTATATAAATGATTCTGTTTTATTTCAAGACAGTAAGGGAAAATCAATTTCCCATGATCTGAGCCATTTAATTCTGTTTTATAGGATCATTTCTCCCTCAGTGTATCTGTGGCAGGCTGCTGTTACAGACACAAGTGCACTGGGAGGAACATGTATCAGATCCAGGTGGAGGGTTCTGATTGGCTCAACTGTCCTGCAGGTGAGAGTATTGAGGTAAGTTAAACAAAATCTTTGTTTTCCAGTCATTTGTTTGAAGCTCAGGTCAACTCTGGTCATCAGGGAACAGCCAAAATGCTAATGGGACTAGAAGCTAGCAGGAGACAGCTTTGTGCAGAGTGTTCACTGGCCCTGTGAGCTTTCAGACAATTAATTCAAGCTATGTTAACATTATTAATTATTATATTATTAATTATATTATTAATTATTAACTGCTGATTGTGATTCTTGTGACATTGCTGATTTAATTTGTGGGGTGTTATTATTGTTTTTTTAATCTTTGGGTTATCTCTGTAGGTGACTGGTTATCGGGGTGTCGTTTACTGTCCAGACAAGAGATTATGTCATTACCATGATGTCAATCCTCCAGTCTCTTCTCACAAACCCCTTCTTTCAGCTCAGCTTTCTGCTGCATCCACATCCAGTGAGAGGTCAGTAAAGTACAAAGAAAGAGAAAATGATGTTGTCCTTTCATCTTGTTCCTTGCTGTATTTCATAATGTTGTACATTTCACAAAGATATGGAATAAACTAATAAACAGTTCATCATGTTTAAGGTTTTGAATAAAAAGATAAATTCTAATTTACAACTTTTCTTAAGAGCTGATGTCTGTAGCCTTAATTAATGAGACCAGCTTTGACATAAGCATTAAACTGCATATCCTCATTTCTCTCCCACAGAGACCACACTCAAATGACTTCTCCATCCAGCCTGAACTCTGACCCTGCTCTTCACTTCTCCACCTCCACATCAACATTCAGGACGCTGATGGTGCCGTCTGTTTTGAGCACAACTGCTGTTCTGTTTTTGTTGGCTGTTCTCATTGTCTTCTACAGAAAGTGCTCAGTCAGTATTAGAGTACATGCTCTAATAGAAGCTCCTAATGTGTTACAGTTACAGGCAGCCTAAAGCTTCTTAAAGGGGAATTCCACCAGTTTTTCAAAATTTCTGTATAACTGAATCTATAACATGTAAATAAAGTCATTCAGAGTGGTCTGATGTGGAATTTTTGATAGGCGGTAATAGGAACTGAACATCAGAAGGGTTGAATGTCCTTAAAGGCTACTTCACAAGAGTTTATTACACAAAATGGTCATATAAACTTTTTCTTTAAGCCTAAACATTGATAAATGATAGTTTTGAGGTGCAATTTTGGACCCCCACTGTAAAGGTTTTCTCTACGATGCACCATCTCATATCAAACCACTCTGAATGAATTTGATTACACCTCAATGAGTGAATTATCCAGATATTTTTGACATACTGCTACTACCCATAAGAAAACTCAATGCCACACAGTAATAATGTGACCAAATTTATCTTCATGCATTTCAACTATAGATAAAAGTAGACTACTGTAGCCCATAATCACAATGACAAGAACATAAGCATACAAAATAAAAATGAAATTATGCAACCGTTTAGGCCTGAAAGAAGAGATGCAAAGGATTATACAAATTTGATTACTGTAGTGTGAATTATAGTACAGTACTAGCCTTCAAAATTCCAACATTTAATGCACAGAAACACAAGGCTCCTTCCCACTTTACAGTTTGATCAGTAAATATGTAAATAACTTGTGCCATTAGCTAATCAACTGAAAATATGCTATCAGAGCTGCTATGAAAGGGTTTGCACATCCATAACAGTGCGTGTCATGGTGATTTAAATTTTCTATCTGTATTTTCTATTCATGTATTTGCAGAAGTGAGACACTGGTGAGATTTGACTAAAACAATCCTATTTTTTGAAAAACTGTCCAGGTGTAACTTTGATACTCTTTGGAGATAATGAGTGGAGCTGAGTTTCCATGTTCCAATAAAACATGGCAAGGGCTAAGGAATGGATAGAGTTTCTTAGTGAAAGACTGACCAGTGAAAGTGTAGATATGAGATCTGGCCTCCACATCATAAAAGGAGACCAAACCCTCCTCATAATCCACAAACACTCCCACCTTCTGGGGCTTCTTTCTCATGGAGAGGGATTTACAGGAACCCTCACATGCCTTATACTTATTGCTGTTCCACAGAGCGATAGTCCAGGTTCCATCGGGGAACTCCTCAAACCTGTCAACAGATTCTTCCGCTACACCTATAACCCAATCAGTTTTATCCCCGACCTGAACCTCATAGTAAAACCTCCCTGAGGAAAATCCCTCCTTTGCTAGAACATAGGGTTCTGAAAAAAATCTTTTAGAGGAGTAGAGGACATTGCGTGGCAAGTTTGTGCATCTCAATTGTTTTCCGTCATCAGATAGGATGAGAAAGCGATTTGCTGTATCAGGATCCAAAGTCACATCCACTAAAATGTAACATGGATAGAGAATAAAACACATTAAAAAGCTTACCTCAAACAGCATGTGCAAACGACTGCATAAAGTAAATAAAATTCACTCTTATAATACCTGCATAGAACTGAATCCACATCTTGTTTGACATCAACATAAGGAATACTAATGGCAGTAATGGTAATAGCAGCACTAGTTGTGTCCAGTTCTTGATAAACCATTTAAAGGCTGCAATAAAAAAAATCCAATCAAACTGTGAAAAAAGTATAAATGTGTACATCTCTTTAATGAATGAAGTTATAATAAACACTGTACCTGTTGCCTCCTTTTGTTTCCTTTGTTCTGTACAGACAATATATCATCAATGAGATTTTTATTAATTAGAGTAAAAATTAAATTAAAATTATAGTCATGTAAAGAGAACATAGGAACTCCTAAATGAGTGAGTTAATGAGCTCACTGTAGTTGATCAAGTGATGAAGTGGTTGTAAAACTAGGGATGTTATGGGGCAAGTTAGCAAGCATGATAAATCAAAAGAAGAGTGCACCTTAAAGCAGGAACACTTTAACCCAAACTCTAGAACCTACGAGAACATGCAAAGACATTAAGAACAGCATAGCAGTTTTTTGGCACTTACTTAATTTCTGTATTTCTTTCTCAGTTTCATTGTTGATGGTTTTCTGAAGCTGTGAAAGTGATCTCCTCAGAATCTCCACACTGGAATTAGTGTTGAGACTGATGTCAGTCCAGTTGTTGGTGTGTGGAGGTCTGCACAGTGATGGGGAAATCTACAGTCCAGGAGAGAGGAGAAATCCCTCAGCATGGGCAGTGTTGTTGTGTGATGTGCTGCATTGTCATTAAGCAGACACTGACCTGTAGGAGGTGAAGGTGGTCTTCAGTGTGGGAGAGCTGCTCCAGCTCAGTGTCTCTCCTCTTTAGCTCAGTGATTTCCTGCTCCAGCTCTTTAATGAGGTGTTCAGCCTGCCTCTCTGCTGCTTTCTGCTCCTCCTCCATCACCCCAAGCAGCTCAGCCTGGCGTCTCTCAATGGAGCAGATCAGAGCAGTGAAGACTTCAACACCCCCTGCAATTTCATCCTCTGTGCTTTTCTAAAGGAAAATGTCACATAGCTATTAACTTTAGAAGCTTCTCTGTCATCAAATCAACAAGTTAAAAGTACCACATGTAACTTTTTAAATGTTCCAATACTTACTTTGCTGAGCTCCAGTGACTGTTTGATCTCTTCAGTCTTCTCTAATCTGTCTTGGATCCTTTTCTGCACTTCTATCTGGGTTTTCTTCAACTGAGCCTATAGAGAGAAATTAGTTTATGGACTTTTATGGATAATCTTTCTGCTTGACCAAAATGAGCTTCCATTTGTTGAAACATAACTGAGATGAACAAAGACCATTAAGACATCACTTTGAGTATTACCTTCAGTTCGCCACTCTCCTCCTCTATAGGAACAGTGTTGTGAGACTTGTGGTCAGTCACAGTGCAGAACAGACACACACACGTCTGGTCATCTCTACAGAACAGCTCCAGGGGTCTCTCATGCTTCTTGCATATGTAGTCCTGCAGGTTCTCCACTGGGTCAATAAATTTGTGTTTCTGGAGAATTTGGATGTTCTTATGGGGCTCTAGATGAGTCCCACAGTATGATGCTCCACAATTAAGACAGAACTTCACAGCCTTCTTTTTGACACCAGTACAAGCATCACACAGGACTTTGGTTAGTTTGGAGGGACTGTCCTCTGCAGAGCTGCTGGCATTGAGCTCAGCTGATTTTCTAAACTGAGCAGCTGTTTCAGAGATGAAAGTGTTGACCGAGAGATCTGGCCTGTTCTCAAAACTCTTGTTACACAGTGGACAGTGCCAGTGGTCGCTGTTGTCCCAATATCCTCCAAGACATTTTTTGCAGAAATTGTGTCCACATGAAGTAGAGACTGGATCAGTAAACACATCCAGACAGATACAACACAGCAACTGCTCTTCAGACACAACGCCGCTAGAAGAAGCCATGCCTGAGGAGAAAAGGCTTTTTAATACCATGTGTAGTGCACACCCTGCTGAAAAAAAGGCCATTAGAAAATATTATGATTAAAACCTAATAGTTTTGCTTACTTTTTTTAACAGAAACACTTTTTTTCAGCAGGGTATGCACTACATACCACTACATGAATATCAGATACAATGATTATGTTCCAGAGAAATGAAAGAACAGGCACTATGTTTTAGGAATGGGCAAACTTAAAAGTTGATACTTCTGATCTTGATGTTTTATTTTGAGAATCTGTTCTCACACATTGACTCGGCAAGCCCAGTTTTGCTGGACTGCCATCGGCTAGTGTCTATTGTACAGGATACGCACCACAGACAGTGACTGTCGTCTGGTGCAAGTCCCAATTTCAACAACCTTTCAGTTTTTTGACCACTTATTGTCAATACATACATTCAACCAAACTACTATTAGTAATGGGATCACTACTACTACTACTAATAATAAATATAGTGTTCAGTATTTTTTATTCAATAATGGAGTTACCAGCACAATTATATGGGATTCCTATTATGATAGCAGAGGCATTTCTGCCTGAACAAGGCACTATGCCTTGTCATCCCAGTAGTCATTATCCTGTAAAGATAACAAAACATGTCTTTATGGATCTTCCCAAACTTTACAAAGGGGGGAGGAGTGCAGCTCCATATTAATGCCTATGGTTTCAGAACCATACAAATACATAGAGAACACAGATTTACCCAATTTCTTAGTTACCCCCACTTTGCAGCCTCCACTCTTTTGGGAAGGCATTCCACAAGATTTTGGAGTATGTCAGGGCTCCACACCAAATTCATCAAACCATGTCTTTATGGACATCACTTTGTGCACAGGTGTGTAGTCATGTTGGAACAGGAAAAGGCCTTCCACAAACTTTTGCCACAAAGTTGGAAGCATATAATTGTCTATAATGTCTTTGTATGCTGTAGCATTAACATTACCCCTCACTGGAACTGAGGGGCTGAGCCCAAACCATGAAAAACAGCCCCAGAACATTATCCCTACTCCACCAAACTTTACTGCTGGCACTATGCATAAACCCAGATTCATCCATCAGACTGCCAGACAGTGAAGCGTGATTCATCAATCCAGAAAACACGTTTCCCCTGCATCCACTCCTGAGTCCAGTGGCGGCATGCTTTATACCACTCCAGCTGACGGCACTGCGCATAATGATCTTACAATGATAGCACTGTAGTTGAGTAGGGCAGATCTAGCAGGGCAGAATTTCATGTACGGACTTATGGCTAAGATGGCATCCTATGACGGTGCCATGTTTAAGGTCACTGAGCTCTTCAGTGCCACCCATTCTACTGCCAATGTTTGTGGAGATATGTTAGCAATGGGTGTGGCTTAAACACCTGATTGGGATGGGTCTACAGTTACATTAACATTTTCTCTTGCGTGTGGGGCGGAAAGATTGTTTTTATATCAAAACACAATTTGAAAGTGCAATTTTCAAATCATTAAGATGCATGATGTATTTTAATGAATATGTTACTGCTTTCTCTCTTTTTTTATTTAATAGCCATATTTTGGCGGAGATGGGAGGTTCGAGGCTGATGTTTAATGGTGTATAGTGCCATCTGCAGCTTGTCTTGGACAGTGCTTGTGCATGTGCAGTTCAACAATGGGACTCAAGATTCATCACTTGTATTTGAGTAATCTACCCAAAAATCCAAAAACAAAAAATAGACTTAAACAGTAATAAACTATGCAGAGTCTTTTAGGCATTCTAAACTACTTTGTTGGTAAGAGAAAAACTAGAAAGGCTTATATAATAATCTAACCATGGAATGCATGTAGTTTAATGTAAACCTTGTTCTTTATACTGTTTAAAGAAAGATATTTAAACCTGCACTAGCAGAGCAGACTGTGATTAGTCTCAGCGATCAAAACTTTTTTCATGTAATATCATGTTTGGCTTCAGTTTTGCCTGTTCAGATTATTTTTAATTATATAAACAAGTCAGAAATATTTTCATGTTATTATTGCAGATATACAAAAATGTAACTCAATTACTCAGGTAATTTTCCAAAAAACAAGTAAATGATCAGTACAGTAACAGTGCTTTCAGTACTCTTTCCACCCTGCCCAGACTGTGCAGCTTCCTACTTGGTGCTCTCCTGCCTCTCCTCTTTACTCTGCATTAGTCTTCAGGAACCTTTTCCTGTTAAACCTGTATTAGAGGTTTCGCTCAAACATAGATCACTAATGAGCTCCAACCTGACACTCACCCACACAATGAAAGAGTAAAACACATGAATATGTCTGCAAGGATATCTCATCTATACAGCTATGGAGACTTTACAAATTAAACATATCTATATCTGTATAAGGCCTCCCTCTAAATTGTTGACACTGAGCTGTAAATTCTCTACTTTCACATTACTTAATTTGCAGTTATATAAACTCCTATTTCTGGATTAAAAACAGCAGCTTTATTTTTTTATGTTCATCCTTACTTACCCGAGTGTCAGTTTTGTCTGGGTTCACACAGAATGTTTAAGTCAGTACTAGAAGCGGTCAAACCTCGGTCCAAGAAAGACATCAGCAGCCCAGAGCTCCTAATACAAGTTTCACTTCTGTTTCTCTGTAAGTGCTCAGTAGCTCCCCCTATTGTCCTGCCCACTAGAGGAACGCGAAAGATGTGTGTCATTCAGAGTGGTTTGATGTGAAATGTTCAGTTATAGAGAAATGTACAGATTCAGAAATGTCCCAGTGGCAGTTGGTGATAGGAACCAGTCTTTTCATAGGCGTTAATGCCTTTAAACACTGCTTGACAAAAGTTTATTACATCACTCTGAATGACTTTGTTTACATCTCATTGATTGAATTATCTAAAATTTCGAAACATCAGTGGAATTCCCCTTTTTAATACTGCTGCATGAAACAGACGGTAAAAAATCAACAGGATAACTGATTTTTACAGCTTTTTTTATTAGATTTACTCAAGTCATTATCATGATCATGTTTACCTTCATTAAATCTTAATCTGTAATTCTACAGCTTTCATTTTATTTGCAGTAAATGTTACCGGGTATTACACTGAACTGATCTGGAATTGTGTTCCAGCAGCATCGGATGGATGAAAATGTATTTTAGATCCGTCACAATATTTATTCAGACAGGATTAAAAAGAAGGACTTGTGCACTTTGAGTGATTATAAATAGTGTGCAGCAAAAATAGAAAAGTTGTTTCAGAAATGAATGACAGAATACATATAAAATAATATTTCAGACAGTGAGATGTTTTTCAAGTGTATTTTAAGCATTTGTGTGCATATGAGCTCAAGTCCCTGTATGAAGGGCAGCATTATTTGTTCCAATGATTTATTATTATTATTATTATTATTATTATTATTATTATTAGTAGTAGTAGTAGTAGTCCTAGCAGTAGCAACAATAATAATAATAATAATAATAACAATAATAATAATAATAATGAAATTACACACTTATGTAGCACTGAGAAAACACTTACAGACACATTTGTGATTATGTACTTCTACTGTGTCTGACAGTCTCACAAATAAGTAGAAAATTCTGAACTGGAAATTAATTCTATATTGTAGCATTTTTTTCTGGCAGCTGAGTTGCTGAATCTTCTATCTTTTAAGTGTCTATACAATTCCTTATAAGGCAATAAGTAATATGTGATAAAAATGTTTCCTACATCGAAAATTTAGGGTTGGCTTCTAGTTTAAAATTTAATTTTCTCACATCTTTCCATTGCAAACATATTTTAACTCCTCAAGGTTGAACTGCTTTATGATTTCTTAGACACGAATGAAATGATCAGTGGAGCTGAGTTTTTACCTCCATCATTATTACCAGGGCTGAAAAATGGATAGAGTTTCTCAGTGAAGGACTGACCAGTGAAAGAGTAGATATGAGATCTGGACTCCACATTATAAAAAGAAACCAGACCCTCCTCATAATCCACAAACACCCCCACCTTCTGGAGCTTCTCTCTCAGGTAGAGGGGAACCAGAGTAATATCATTAGCATCATATTTATTGCCTTTTCTCAAAGACACAGTCCAGAACCCATTCTCAGGGCTCAGTGTAATCATTCCCTTCCTGTTAACGGACTCTCTGGACACTCCTAAAACCCAATCAGTTTTGTCCCTGACCTGCACCTCATAGTAAAATCTGTCTGAAAAGAATCCCTCCTTTCCCAGGACATTAAAGCATGTATCAAATCTTTGTGAGTCATCAGGTCGATTTTGTTGTCTGCATGTGTGTCTCACTTGTTTTCCATCATCAGACAGGATGAGATTGGGATGAGCTGTATCAGGATCCAGCATCACATTCACTGAAAAAAATTAAGAACACTTCAATAGGAAGATCCAAATTTGGGCTGATTGATATATACGGCTTGGAAATGTGTCTTATAGGTCATCCGCCATTGTTGCAGGTTAGTTGGTCTAAGCTGATTCAGAGTACCTGCTTTCCCTGCCTTTGCCTGATCTGTAACCCATGAGCTCACTACCGTGTGGATCTACATAACTACCATATCAAAGCAATATCAAGGAAAGCAGAGAGGAAAGGAACTCAACTATGTGGATACAGCTATAGTTAAACCTCACATAGGAAGCATCACAGGGAGAGTGTTGATAAACATCAAACACAAGCTCATTTTATCACATAGATGTAATGGAATTAAATGTTCAACATAATTTAGTAAATTGATCGTGTTTGGTATCAGCCAATGAACGCTTCACAAACTCACTGTTGTCCAGCTCAATGGTTTGAGGTGAAGTAGTTTACGATATGACTAGGCTAGCATAGTCAGCTGAGGTGTCTGATCAGAATTTGTCTATTTTTCTTGAAGACTTGGGTGACTGGCCTTCTGGTGTAAACTTCAATCCACATGTAATTTACTGTGAATGTTTGTGGTGTTTAAATTGATACAGTACATTGTCATTAGTTTGCTAATTAACTAGGCTAGCAGTGCTTGGCGACCATGGTATATGCCAGTGGCAGAGTTAAAAAGCCAATAACTAAGAGAAATATGCTGATTACTGAATTAAATATGCCAGTAACTGACACAAATATGCCAATGGCTGGGTGAAACATACTAGTTATGCCAGGGGCTTAGTGAAATATCTTACTACGTTAGCTGAGTTCAATCTGTAGTGGCTGAGTTGAATAACCATTTGCGAACTGTACATGGGCTTTGAGTGACATGAAAATTCTGAATTAATTGAAAGAACAGACACTTAAGCCACACAACATCTACGATAATGTCTGGAAATGAAAGAGGCGGTAAAACTGGCATATCCATATCATTACTACACTTTGTATAGATTCACAATTGTTTTCCATATTCTGTTGCTTAACATTTCTCTGGAGATTGTTAAGATTTTTAAAAACCACAATAACACAACAATTGCTTTAAACTCCCACTGTGTTTGCAGCATATAAACAAAGATCAAACCCCGCTAAAATGGCAGGACAATTCCAGACTAGGGTGCTCTTACAGACATTCCTAATTTACATGCATAAAATGAATGTAAACGTGAATATGAAAATAACAGAAATGTACACGTACCTGCATACTCATTAGACCTCTTCAATTCTCTAAAAACTAGACACATCAAAAATATGAATTAGAACACTGGGTAGTTTAATTGTGAACAGTTAAGCAATCTTGCTCTTAGTACTCTGATGTGAAAGAAACTCACTTCTATATTGTGTTCTGTTGATTTTCTTTAAAATGTTCTTACCAGCTTCATACAGCTTCTCATTCAGACTCTTCTGAAGTTCAGACAGAGCTTTCCTCACAGTCTCTATGCTCCTAAGGGGTTCAACATTGATGTCAGTCCAGTTCTTGGTGTGTGGAGGTCTGCACAGTGATGGGTAAATCTACAGTCCAGCAGGAGAGAGGAGAAATCGCTCAGCATGGGCAGTGTTGTTGTGTGATGTGCTGCATTGTCATTGAGCAGATAGAGGGACACTGACCTGTAGGAGGTGGAGGTGGTCCTCAGTGTGGGAGAGCTGCTCCACCTCAGTGTCTCTCCTCTTCAGCTCAGTGATTTCCTGCTCCAGCTCTTTAATGAGGTCTTCAGCCTGCCTCTCTGCTGCTTTCTGCTTCTCCTCCATCACCTCAAGCAGCTCAGCCTGGCGTCTCTCAATGGAGCAGATCAGAGCAGTGAAGAGTTCAACACTGTCTGCTTTCTCTTTCTCTGTGTTTCTCTGATGGAAGAACATTTCACTTTAATGTTTCTCTATACTTGATCTAAATTCAATTTGAATATCATTGAGCATATCATCATGCTGGCATACTGTCTCACATTGGAGTCTTTACTCACTTTGCTGAGCTCTACTGAGTGTTTAATCTTTTGAAGCTTCTTCAGTCGTTCATGGATCATCCACTGCACTTTGGCCTGCATCTGCCCCAGCTGTGTCTATAAATGAGAGAAGGAAGAGCAGAGATACAGTTGTATGCAACAGTGTGTACACACCTGGTCAAAGGACATGTTTTGTAGATTTTGTAAGTAAACAGAAGTTAACACAACTTATTATCATTTATTTATCTCATTATTAATTATTATTAATTATCATTATCATTATTTTTTTCTAAAAAAATAAATGTAACACTTTATTTGCAGAATTTCATATATTGGAAAAATGTGGCATGAGTCAAAGATTGAATATTGTTTTATTTGATCCACCAGAGTTATACCTTTTTTGTTTTATTTATTTATTTATTTATTTCTGTGAGGTAAGATCATTACTCCACTCCGTTTGGGAGAATTATGGAGAAATGTTGAAATCAAGCCAAATCTGGAAGACTTAGAAAAATCTAGTCGACCAGTCAGGCCTGCAAAGCAAAACCCCCACATCACTGCCAAGGAACATCAGGAAAATTTGTCTGGCATGAGAATAGTGATGTACTGGCCTTCTGTGCAGTGTTGTTGGATGACCATCATCTACATGTTAAGTAAAATGGTAGATCTATAATGCTTTGGGGTGCTATGGCAACAAGTGACACAGGAAATGTCGTGGGATAGAGGAAAAAAGAAATCTACTAAATATCAACACATCCTGCAAGCTAATGTTCCATAGTGAAGAAACTGAAGCTTAAAAGAGATAAAATATTACAACAAGACAGTGATCCAAATTATCCATTAAAAATCAACCTTCAACTACTTCAAGGAATTAAAAAAAGCTTTGGAATATCCTTCACCATCCCCACACTTGAGTACTTTGAAAATGTGTGGGTAGATCTCAGTAAGATGACCTATGAATATTGCTGAACTAGAAGGGGAAAAAATTCAAGAACATAACTGTAAGCTTAGACCTAACTAATAAAGTTAAAAATAGCAGAACTGTGTCATATTTAAATATGTTCCATGTAGAAGTGGTGCCAACTTCTTTTCACTTAGAAAACAAAATGTGTACTTTGCTTTTTGTAACGTCGGATCATTATTCCACTCTGTTTGGGGGAACTTATTTGACACATGTATGTCAGGCGTAGGCTATTCCAGAGCATGATAAATTGTGTGATCTTTTAGAGTGTCTACACTCAACAGCCATGGGCTCATGTAAGTGGCTGTCTGAGGATTTGAAACTAAAGATAACTGACTGTGACAAAGCAAGAGAAAGCTACAAAAGATAACTAAACAGTAGGATCTGAACTTTCACCTGCAATTGTAGACATTGTTCTTTGACATGTACGAACCGATACTAGCCAGTTTATTAGGTATCTACACACATTGGGCATTTTATCAGAAACACCTACTAGGGGTGACAATCGCTTCAGGCCACACAAGGTGGTGGGGGTGGTAGGTTGAACCTTGTTCTGCTGGGTGTGGGGCGAGCATGTTAGACCCTGCACTAACCATTCCTAATGATACATCTTGTTCTTACCAAACAGAAAGAGACCATGTTGTGGATTAAGACAGAAATGCATTTTGGAAATCTATTCATCTAATCTTTGGTCAATGGTGGTCCTTTTTCCAAATATTTGTAGACATTCCTTCTATTATGTGAATTCAGCTACATTAAGGCACACCCATTACTGACACCGGCATTCAATAGCACACACAGCTTGTATAATCTCTACAAAAAGCATTGCCAATAGAATAGGAGCAGCAACATGTGAACGAAGAACCTAAGGACACCATACCCAATGCCAAGCATCGACTAGAGGAGTATAAAGCTGCCCAGCATGGACTGTGGAGCAGTGGAACTGCATTCTTTGGAGTGATGGAGCTCTATCCAATACCTTTGGGATGAGTTGCAGTAGTGTTTATGATAACTAATCACCCAACATCAGTACCTGACCTCACTAATGCTCTTGTGGCTGAATGCAATCAAATCCTCAAAACAATGTTTCCAACATCTAGTGTAAAGCCATCCCAGAGGAGTAGAGGCTGTTACTGCAACAAAAGGGGACAAACTCCCTATTAATAGCCTTAGTTTCAGAAGAAGCACTGGATGAGCCAGAGTGTATAAACTTTACATATATAGTGCATTATGGTAGGTGTACATGATGAAAATGGTCAATGAGTTTATGAGTGTAGGTAGAAGATATGCTCACTGGTATCTGATAAACAGGCAACAATGGTTGACAATGGTTAGGAAAATACATTGAGCATCCTTGTTGTGCAAGTCAGGTTCTGAGAAGTTTTAACATTTACCTTTGTCTTCCTGCTCTCTTCCTCTATCGGAACAGTGTTGTGTGTCTTGTGGTCTGTGTTAGTACAGAAATCACACACATACTTCTGATCAACTCTACATAACATTTCCAGGGGTCTCTCATGCTTCTGGCATATGTAGTCCCCCAGGTTCTTCACTGGGTTTATTAGCTTGTGTTTCTTTAAGGCTGGGACTCGCTCATGAGGGTAAAGGTGGGTCTTACAGTAAGACGTCAAACACATCAGGCAGGATTTAAGGGCCTTCAGCTTGACTCCAATGCAAACATCACAAAGAACCTCAGGGTTATCCAGGCCACTCCTTTTGAAGTGATCCACAGCTTCTCTCAGTGTTGTGTTCAGCTTGAATTTAGGGTCTACAAATTTCTCATTACAGAACGGACAATGCCAGTGTTGACTGTTTCTCCAGTGTTCTGTGAGGCAGGTCTTGCAGAAGTTGTGTCCACATGGAGTGGAGACTGGATCAGTTAATATATCCAGACAGATAGAACACAGGAACTGATCCTCAGACAGGAAATCACTGACTGAAGCCATGACTGGGCAACTGGACAAATCTAATGAAAAATGATTACAAAAAATTTAAATGGAATTTCCATGACAATATAAATCCACTCAGTGTTTAAGATTAAGTATGTTTGACACCAACAAACAAATTTAAGACATTTATTAACCCCTCATCATTCCTTGAGATGAAATGGGGAAGACATTTCAACAAAGTGAACAATGTTTCAAGGTATTCATTTTACAGTGTAATATGTAAGTCTATACCTTTACATCAGAGTTGAAATGTAGTGGAGTGATAGTAGTTGAGTTGAGACCAAATTAAATATTTTCAGAATATACAAATAAAAAGAAGAAAGCAGAAAAAAGGAAATTCATTTGTAGTTCATTGTGCATTCATTATCATTTATTATACATGATATATATTTCTTTATATATACATATATATTTATTTCATATGTTGGTAAATGCAACAATATATAACATATATCCTAAAAATATTATTCATTATTATTATTATATTATAGTCTTAGTCCAACTTTGCATTGTAACTTTTGGAAGCAAATGATGGTGAGGTCATTCTCTGGCACTTCTTCCCTAAAACATATTCACCACCTAAAGTCAGCATAAACCAAACAACATCTGTTTTTATTATGAAATAAAAACAACAGTAATAATAACATTCTGATCTGCCCTCAGGGGATATCAGAATTTTGGAACCGAAGAATTTTCCAAGTATTGTTGATATTTAATAACAACAGAACAAAACTAACCAGTTACCTCAAAATGATGCTGAGACTGAGACCATTATCTGATGCCTTTGGGACTAAGAGTACTGCAACACTCTGAATATGAGCTTTAAATGCACCAACATTCAACAATTTCCATCTTTTAAATAAAAAAGGACCCCTTTCTGCTATATCTGTTTCTTTTTCAGCTTTCCACTCACCTGTGTGTCAGTGTGGACTCGTTTCACTCACTCTCTCAGAATAAAGAGACAGCGGGAGAGAGCAGTTAATGTGACTGGTGAGACGGATCTCAGCATTATGCAGAAACTGTTTCCTGGTTATGATAATCACTCCATTCATTCCCTTTAAAATGTCATGTCATTACTTCCCCTTCAGTGACAGGAATAATCCAGGTATAATACATAAATAGGATCATATGTAGATCATGAACAAACAGTGGCACTAACAAAGGAACTATGTAGACTTTCATGGCACCTTCTAAGTTTGATATTTGCTATTTTTTAATATTCAATTGATAACTCATTTCAATTACTGTAACAGATAAGAATTTGTTTCCTCTATGTTCTTGTTTCAGCTCATACACAATACTGACCTCTTTACTGTCACAGGTTGTCTGAATATGAAATATCCAGGCATATGAATCTTTTATTTGATGTTCCAGCCCTTATTGCAATAGGAGCTGTCAGGTGAGTGATAGATTAGGATTTTGCTTTGTATCCTTGTACTTACACTTTTTCTCTCAAAGAATACATAAATCAGCATAATAAAGAGTGCTACTCAGAGAAGACACATGGGCTCTAATCCCACATGGACAAAGGTGCTGCCCCAAATGTTTGCTTTTTGATCTGGTTGTATAATTGCATAAAGAAAGGGAAGGCGGGAGGACAAAAAATGGCCTAAAAATGCAGAACAATGTAAAAGGTCTCCTATCTAAATTGTGTATTATTATTATTAGTTGTGGTAGCAGTAGCAGTAGCAATAGTAGTAGTATTGTTTGTATTTATGGGTATTATTATTAGTAGTATTGTTATTTTTAAATACTAACATTATTATAGCTTGAACTGATCAAACACGACATTAGAGGAACTGGTTGGTTATGAAGTCTACAAAAGGGTTTTATTACTGCAGTGGGACTTGTGGAATGATTCTGATTAGAGAGTAGAGGAAGAGAAGACACAGAGAGATTTCAGTTAAGCTCTTTAATGAGTCAGTCACTGACGGCTACCACATGTTTTACTGGACATGGGTGTGTTCCATAAAAGAAATCAGAAAGAAAAACAAAACTGTCTTATTAATAACATGGATGAAATAGAATTAAAAACCCATATAAATAATTAAAACCATGTATATAGTTAGAAAAGTCAGAAAATGAAAACATGCAATTGTTCAGGATAGTCAATAAAAGAAGCACATATTTGATTATCATCATAAGAATAACAAAACAGTGTTCTAGGATACAGTTAGGTGAAATATTTTCCAAATTCCTAAGTCTTCCAACTTTTAGATTTTACTCTTGGATTATCCAGTAAATATGCAGTAAATACAGAAAAAACAACATCTGATAACTATAACTGTGCTACTACATACAGAAAGAGAACAGCATATTTAATGTGGAAATGCATTTTCAGGGTATCTTCAGCCCTCCTCCTTTTGCCATGTATTTTTTTGACCCCAAAATGATTTGTATTCACGATATGTTTACTCCCTGTTTCAAAAACATTTTCTCAGTTTTACCTGCTATTGATGACATCTGAAGTGACACTATGTAAGATTTGGGGATTTGGAGACCTCTGTGGGGAAATGTGTGACTGCATGCAATGTGCAGAAGAACATTTGTAATGTCGGTTGTGCTTCAGTCCCCTTCCCCAAGTGGATCAATCTGATTATTGTGAGCGCATTGAAAAAGTAATCAAAGAGAACTCAGTCAAAATCGGTGAAGGACGTGTCTTTTGAGCACATAAGTAAATTATCTACAATTGTCATCATATCTTCATCAGTATAATGTTGATTCTGCATTTGAGAACTAAACATTTTTTACCTTTTTTTAATCCATTTGTGTAACATTAATAAGCTGTATGACATGGTCTAAAAACTCCAACAAAAATCCAACCCGACACCTCTGACTTTCAAATGACTATTTTGGGCTTTACAGGCAAACTCACAGCAGTGCTTGCACACTACATATTAGCATGTGGTTTTCCCTTCTGACTCAATTGTTAGCTCAAGCTTAACAATTCTTTCAATTAGGAATTGGAGTGTTGGCCTGACACTGCTGTTGAAAAAAATTCTAGGGGAAACACTGAAAAATATTTGCAATGGAAAGATTTTACTTTTTTATTAAAATAAAAATTTATTGTTAATTGTTGAAAAACTGCCTCAGTGTAGCCAGGCCTTTATATACATGAGAGATGATGAGTGGAGCTGAGTTTTTAGATCCAGAAGCCAAACCTGTGCAAAAGAATGGATAAAGTGTCTTAGTGAAAGACTGACCAGTGAAAGAGTAGATAGGAGACCTGCGGCCTGAGACCTCCACATCATAAAAGGAGACCAGACCCTCCTCATAATCCACAAACACCCCCACCTTCTGGGGCTTCTGTTTCAGAGAAAGGATCACACAAGAACCAGCACAAGCATAATACTTATTGCCATTCCTTAGGAGCACAGACCACGTACCATCTTTAGCATCAGGATAAACCTGCCACCACCTCTCAATGGACTCTCTGGACACTCCTACATCCCAGTCAGTCTTCCCACTGACCTGCACCTCATAGTAAAATCTTCCTGAGGAGAAACCCTCTCTTGCTAAGACATAGGGATCACTTCTAAATCTTTCAAGCTTGTATGGGACATTTAGCCAAGTGCCTGAATATCTCACTTGTTTTCCATCAGCAGACACGATGAGGTAGTTGTTTGCTGTATCAGGATCCAGAGTCACATCCACTGAAAATGTCAAACACAAAGAAGACATGTATTACTAATTGTGTTTTCATGCAGAATTATAATCTGTAATGACCTTTGTGTGAAGTCATTGTGAAATTAAAATTTTAAGATATTTTCCTCCCGTAGCTTAATTCAAAATAAAAAAAGATATTTTGATGGGAAATAACACTGGAACAATGTAGTGTACAATTACAGTCATTTACTGGCACCAGTTTCTCCCTGAACTCTCTTGTATTTCTACTGAACAGCTCGTATGTGCTCTAACATGAACCCAAAGCTGACTGAGGACCCTCAGTTTTAATACATTATGTAGAACAACATGTAAAGATACAGGCAAAGATAGCAAATCTATCTAGCTAGTTTCTGGAAGCAAATGCTTGAAACTGCAAGCAAACAGTTACATAGTAAATGATCACACTATTTTTCACAACAGTGTAGGAGTGTTCATTAATCACACCATGAACATTACATTACAGCAGTTACTGCACTTTAGGCCTGGGCAATATCTAAAAATAATTAGCACCATATTTTCTAGTTAAGAAATATGGATTCCATGCAGTTTTGTGAAAAAATACTGCCCTGTTCCAATTTCTTCTATTTTGGCATATTTGTCACACTGGAATGTTTCAGATCACCAAACTACTTTAAATATTAGACAAAGATAACCCAAGTAAACACAAAATGATGTTTTAAAATGATGATTCCATTTACTGAGGGAAAAATGCTGTTCACCCCTACCTGGTCCTATGTGAAATCAACCATTTAACCAAATTCAACTAATTTTTGGGCTCAATTTCTCGCACCATACCCAGGTATGATTACTGCTAGACCTGTTCAATCTAAACACCACTTAAACAGAACTTGTCTGGCAATGTGAAGCAGGCTAGGTCTCAAAAAGCTAGGTTAGGCTAGGTCTCAAAAAGGAGCACATGATATCTCATTCTAAAGAGACTCAAATACAGACGCAAAACAAAGTCATTGAAATTTATCAGACTGGAAAGGGTTACAAAACCATTGCTAAGGCTCTGGGACCCCAGCGAACCACAGTAAGAGCCATTATCCACAAATGGAGAAAACGTGGAACAGTGGTGGACCTTCCCAGGAGTGGCTGGCCTACCAAGATTTTGCCAACAGCGCATCAACAACTCTTCCAGGAGGTCACAAAAAAAACCCCACATGAACATCTAAGGTGCTGCAGGCCTTATTTGCCTCAGTTAAGGTTAATGTACACGATTCCACAACAAGAAAGACATTGGGCAAAATTGGCATCTATGGGAGAGCTGCAAGGCGCAAATCACTGCTGACCAAAAAGAACACATAGGCTTGCCTTGCATTTGCCAAAAAATATCTAGATGATACCTGAGACTTTTGGGCTAATATTCTGTGGACAGACGAGTCAAAGGTGGAACTTTTTGGAAGACATGGGTCCTGTTACATATGGCATACAGCCAACACCACATTCCAGAAAAAGAATATTATACCAACAGTCAAACATGGTGGTGGTAGTGTTATGGTCTGGGGCTGCACAACCTGGATGACTTGTCATAATTATTGGAACCACAAATTCTGCTCTCTATCAAAAAATTCTGAAGGAGAATGTCCGCCCGTCAATTCATGACCACAAGTTCAAGCGCAGTTGTGTCATGCAGCAGGACAATGATTCCAAGCACACAAGTAAGTTCACCTTAGAATGGCTCAAAGAAACAAAATTAAGGTTTGGGAGTGGCCAAGTCAAAGTCCTGACTTGAATCCCATTGAGATGCTGTAGCAGGACCTTAAATGATCAGTTCATGCTTGAAAACCCTCCAATGTGTACACACACAACACACACACACCGGCTGGGAATCAAAGCCAGGCCCTTCTGTCTGTGAGGTGACAGTGCTACACACTGCGCCACCGTGCCGCCCCCCTCAAACGTAGCCGAGTTCAAAAAATTTCTGCAAATAAGAGTGGGCGAAAATTCCTTCACAGTGTATTCCTTCAATAAATGGAATGATCATTCAAAAGCTGCATTTTGTGTTTACTCATGATTTCTTTATCTTATGTAAGTAGTAAACATGGCTAACGTGACATAGCCTGTTAATAAAAATGATTAAATTTTAAATCCGTTTGAGACGACTCATGTTGAAAACCAAAATGTTTACTGGATATTAATGTTTAAACAGGTGAGCTTTGGTGAGTATACCCAAAGGGGTTATAGAATAGTAAGCTGTAGTACAAACCCAATTTCAAAAAAAATTGAGACAGTAAGTAAAATGAAAATAAAAATGAAAACAGTACAAAGACAAGATATGTAAGCTTTATCTTATAAACGTCACTGTTTTTTCTAAACATATGTTCATATGTTCTAAAACTGATGCTTGCTAAAACATTGTGACAGGCGCAATTTAAGGTTAGGAACATTATGAAATGTTGGAAAAACATCCTAAAAAGGTGAAGCATGGCCAGTGCCCACCAGCAGGCCCATAGTTTTATTACCCACTTCTATAACCTAAGAATAGCTCAACCAGTTTGCACTGAAGTACCTGTAGTTACCGAATAATAAGACTTAGTATGTAATAAGCCTGGGATTTTAAAGATTTAAAGGGTCGTCTAGGAAAGACTTAGTCCTTTATGAGCCAAAAATGCATCGGAAAATCCAACGGTTTGAAAATAAAGTTCTTTAGCAAGTGAATTCAACGATTTTAAGGTATTTCACCCCCAACAGTGCATAATATTGTCAACAGATTCCTGGGATCCAGAGAAATCTCTGTGTGTAATAGACAAGGCTGAAAACCACAATTGAACGCCCATGACCTTTGACCACTGGGACAGCCCTGCACTAAAAACCTTCTGTCATTGATATCATCACATCACAGGCTTGAGAATACTTTGAAACATAGCTAAACTCAGACAACAGTCTTTAAAGTTTGATGGAAAAATAATAAGTGGTGTGCTATAATTAATCATGCTCAGTATGAACAATGAACTAACAAGTTAAATGAGTAAATTTAGATTTTTGGTCGACTGAAATGAATAAAATTTGTACATTTGAGTGTATCACTGTTAAAAGAAATTAAATAATAGTATACCTGCATAGAACAGGAGCCACAAGTTGTATGATTGTAATACAAGAAGGAAAACTAATGGAAGCATTATTAGAAGCACCCCTCTCCAGTCTGTAATAAGAAAAACAAACAAAAAGGAACTGTCAAAAACAGTTAACCCATTCATGCCCTACAACTATATTTAATATGATAAATTAAAGGAATTATCCACACAACTTGTTCTGATTGTTCTAAAAAGATAACATATTGTGTAGTTATTTCTTGGATAAACATCTAACAGCACTCTTTTGAATGTTCTAAGTTACATTTAACAACCACTCTTCTTTACATAATTTGGATTTTCTGTTAAAATCAGTTGTCCCATGTGACAAAAAGATTATATGATAAGCGGTAAAACACTTTTTAGCCATATGGTTGATTATTTGAACATTTTCTTCAGATGTGTGCTAAGGCAAGCTCAGAGAAAATATGGACCAGAAGAAATTTAAAATTGTAGATATGTACATTAATGGGTTAATCAAGCTATCAAACTGCCAAAAATACTCCAACAACTCTGGTAAATTAACGTTAGATGGATCACTGTACCTGCTTCCTTCTGTTGACGCCTCAGCTCTAAAAACACAGAATAACATGATCAGCAATGCCATTTTTAATAAATATGTATACCATATAAGTATGCTTTTGCTAGTGATGGTGAATTGAATATGTTAATTTGTTACTGAAGTAATTCATATTTTCTGGTTTTATTATATGAATATGTCCATTGATTAATTCAGTAGTGTAGAACTGTACACTACTTAACACAATCTGGTCTGTAATTGAGATCTCAGATTAATAATATTTTTCATAATAAATGATGAGCAGCCCACATATTTCTGCTACAAATGAAAATGGATTGTTTTCAGCGCCTCCTGTTTATGAATGATTCAGTCAAACATGATGGGAGTGCAAATGTTACAATGTACCTCATGGGCAGTGGGTTAGCTATAACAGACTTGGGGGCAAGTTCTTATTCCTCAGAAAAGTCTGATGGATTAATGCAAATAAAATTATATAAAACAATTCTCTGTTTGAGACATTAAGTTAAATACACAAAATATCTGCATCAACATGTAATATAATTACTCAAAAGGCTGGAAAATTTATATAACATAACATAGAAAAACAAATAACAGCACAATAAAACTGATGTCTGTAGTAATTCTCTGATAAATCTGTGAATAAAAAGTTCCCAAAATACTTTTGAATTTACATAGGACCGCGACCATATCTGGACTAAGCGGTTAATGATGATGATGATGATGATGATTTTATATAGGAGTATTTGGATTTCTTTTATTGTTAACTTTAGGAGGCTTGTCTGTAACGTTGTGTTAATAACCCCGCCGTGTGAAGGCTGTACTTTAGCCTTGCTAGCTCCCACTTTGAGCTGATTACCTGCTTCAAAACAGTGATATATTACAGCCACAAAGAAGGTGATTAAAATAATATAGGTATAATCAAGATATTGCAATCCATAACACTGGAAAAAGTTACTTGATGGTCCTAAAACGGTCTTTGGGCTGAAATGTCTGTTTGATTACTGACAAAATTGGCAGATGACATTGTTATGGGAATAGGAAAAGAACTGTTTAACTACATACCTTTGCATTTTTTATGTTTTGCCATACAACCAGTTTTAAAGTAGTGTAAAATATGATTCATTCATATACACAAAAAGAATGAAGGCACCACTATATATACAGCATGTATATGTATGTGACATGTTACACCTGACATTTTGGGAATGTTTACATAAAACCCACAAAATAAGCAAGTCACCATTATAGGGCTAATAGAGTTAATAGCTAGCTATCATGCAAGCATGGTCATGAAACTGTGGAGTGCATCTTAAAGCAGGTTCATTTTATCCCCCATATTACTGTTGTTTTAAATGAAACCTACTTCAGGACAAAACTATTGAACCTAAGGGGATACACGAGGATATAAAAACAGCACAGTTGGACAGTGTTTTTTGAGCTACATTTGGTGCTCACTTACTTAATTTCTGTATTTCTTTATCCATTTCATCATTGAAGGTTGTCTGAAGCTGTGAAAGTGATCTCCCCAGTATCTCCTCACTGGAATGAGTGTTGAGCCTGATGTGAGTCCAGTTCTTGGTGTGTGGAGGTCTGCACAGTGATGGGTAAATCTACAGTCCAGCAGGAGAGAGGAGAAATCCCTCAGCATGGGCAGTGTTGTGTGATGTTATTGTCATTGAACACACAGAGAGACACTGACCTGAAGTTTTTGGAGATGATCTTTTACATTTGAGAGTTGGTCCAGCTCCGTATCTTTCTTCTGTAGTTCAGTGATTTCCTGTTCCAGCTCTTTAATGAGGTCTTCAGCCTGCCTCTCTGCTGCTTTCTGCTTCTCCTCCATCACCTCAAGCAGCTCAGCCTGGCTTCTCTCAATGGAGCGCATCAGAGCAGTGAAGAGTTCAACACCACTTGCAGTTTTATCATCTGTGCTTTTCTAATGGGAGAAATGAGGTCATGCTGTTATCACCTCTAGCAACAGCTCTGTTAGCAAAATCATGAACATCAAAAAGCAATGTTTGCGAAATGTTTCAACTCTCACTTTGCTGAGCTCCAGTGAATGTTTGATCTCTTCCGTCTTGTCCAATCTGTCCTGAATCATTTTCTGCACTTGTGTCTGGATTTTCTTCCTCTGAGCCTGTGGACAGCAATGATTTTATGACCATTTACAAGAAACCTTATTACTTGACCAAATTGAATATGCAGAATTGAAGATGACTTTCCTTTTACTTAAAAGTAGCTAAGATGGCCAAAGAACTTTAACATATTGAATCACATTTTTTATGTGAGTACATAATTTTTACTCCTCAGATTAGCCAATAAAACGAACTACGCACTTTTTGAGAAAATGTTTTGGAAAAGCTAGTGACCACTGAGAAGCTGCACAGTCAAAATATTTACATCAGTTGATCAATCAAATGATAAACTAACAATAAAATTAACTGAATAGACAGTGATTTACACTGTTTATAACCTGTTTATAACATGGGGTTTAATATAGAAAAGTACATATTTTTGCTAGGCAAGCAGTGTTTGTTAAAAGGCTAGGCAGTGCCAGTGGCTGAGATAACTATGCCAAATAATAAGTGAAATCCACCAATGACCAAGAGAAATATAGCAATAATAACTAAGTGGAATATGGCAATAACTGAGTGAAATATGACAGTAACTAAGTTAAATCATAGATCGTATGAATTGTCTCTGGTTAAATATGCCAGTACTCAGTAAATACTCCTTAAAGTATTAAAGTGGAATAAGCATTAGTAAACTGTACAGGTACTTTAACATATCAGCTAGGAAAAAAGTCTATGGGTGAATCCATGCTGTCAATAAGGCTAATTTTATCATTATATAGTAGCTTAAAGTTGGTTAAGATGCGCTCCCTTTTACATCAATCTCTGTAAGCTCTCACGGTGTATGTGAGGATTTGTAGTGTGTAAAAATTATCCCATCATGCATTGTGATGTGATGTTGATTACCAAGCTCTATGTGGTTTGCAGTGTCATGTTAGCATCTCACTTTCCCACATTCACTTTCCCACACTGAGTTTAATACTTTACAGCTCTACCTTAAACACTGACTTTTAGAGCTTGCAGGACACGCATGTTATCAATTTTTACTTTGTATTTTCCAATTTTAAGGGAATCTTATGGTAAATACATAAAGCCTAACTGTGAGTATTATAAGTGCTTATTAGCCTGTTTGCTTTTGAAGGTTGAAAAAGTATGAACACAGTATTTTGAAAATACATCAAGACATCATTTTAATCATTACCTCCAATTCACCACTCGCCTCTTCTATAGGGACAGTGTTGTGAGTCTTGTGCTCTCCTTCAGTGCAGAAAAGACACACACATGTCTGGTCATCTCTGCAGAACAGCTCCAGGGGTCTCTCATGCTTCTTGCATATGTAGTCCTGCAGGTTCTCCACTGGGTCAGTAAGTGTGTGTTTCTGGAGAATCTGAATGTTCTTATGTGGCTCTAGATGAGTCCCACAGTATGATGCTCCACAATTAAGACAAGACTTCACAGCCTTCTTTTTGACACCAGTACAAGCATCACACAGGACTTTGGTTAGTTTGGAGGGACTGTCCTCTGCAGAGCTGCTGGCATTGAGCTCAGCTGATTTTCTAAACTGAGCAGCTGTTTCAGAGATGAAAGTGTTGACCGAGAGATCTGGCCTGTTCTCAAAACTCTTGTTACACAGTGGACAGTGCCAGTGGTCGCTGCTGTCCCAATATCCTCCAAGGCATTTTTTGCAGAAGTTGTGTCCACATGGAGTAGAGACTGGATCAGTAAACACATCCAGACAGATACAACACAGCAACTGCTCTTCAGACACAACGCCACTGGAACAAGCCATGCCTGAGGAGAAAAGATTGGAGGTTTGACTCAAACACTAAGGAGCTCTAACGCACACAGTTGAAGAGTAAAACGCATGGCTAAAATGTCTGCAAGGATAAGCATGGATAACAAAAGCAGAACAGTACTTTTAGACAGTGGTTTTCTGGGTTACATTTGTGCTCACTTACTTTTATATCCATGTCATTGTTGAGGGTTTCATTGGCAGAATGTGATATGAAATAGGAAATTGTTGCCATACACAACGTTACAAATTCTTGTAAACGTGTCTATATTTATATAAAGCTTCCCTCTTACGGATCGCCACTCACTCTTTCATACCCACGTTACGTGATTTGCAGTTACGTAAACTCTTAACACACCTACCTGGATTAAATACCACTCATGAACAGAAACAACAGCAGCTCTCTCTGCTTATCATCACTTACCTGAGCGTTCACACTTGTTCCAGAACTTGTTCAAAACATTAGCAGCCCAGAGCTCGTAATAGAAGTAAGTTTCACTTTCGTTTCTGTATAATAGCTCAATAGCTCCCCCTACTGTCCTATGTGTCTTCCTCCTCTTCCTATTAGTGGGTTGTTGTGAGTGAAAGAGAGAGAGATTTAGGATGTATGAATAGTCAGGTTACTACAACGTGTACATATTTAAAATATTTAAAATACATATTTACATCAACTCTTTCAACTTTTATTTCATTAATTACAACAAGGGATTGCATTCATTTGTTAGACGCAGATAGGTATTTGTAGATAAGTCAAATATGCTCTTATTTTGTTCTATTTTCTTCTGTACTATCAACATTATTACACCAGTTTTTTACACGTCTGTTAGTGTGACTGTGCATATATGTACACACACACACACATACATATATATATATATATATATATATATATATATATATATATATATATATATATATATATATACATACACATGCTTATCCTTCTGGGTCATGGGGGGGCTGGGCATATATTATATATATATATATATATATATATATATATATATATATATATATACATATATACACACATATATTACATTTATATTTATTCAAAACACTAAATGATGTAGGTGCAATATTCCAAGGCTCTGCTAGTACATGTGGCTTCAACCTAAGAAGTCAACTCTAGTTCTCTGTTGATCCTTTAATTATTCCTGTTAGGGGGTTTTCTTGCGGAGCTTGACAGTTTGATTTGTTGTACCATGCATATACAAAGTTTAGTCAAACACTGTACCCATGTGTGCCCACTAAGTACACAGACACAGGATCCTGGACCTTTATAACCTACCGACATGAGCTGTGTGAAAGTTTTTCCTGATGGATCTAGAACAATTTCAAATAGATAAATAGATTTGATTGCAGAATACAATCTTCCTCGCAAATCTCTTTTGACAGGCTATTAAACCTGTTCTCTGTTTCAATCGACATATTTTCCATTTTCATTAATATTCACATTGCATGTGATTTTAGGATTAGATATTATTTTGCACTCTGGGGGACTGCTGTTTTTTACAGATTCAGTTCAAGTTCACTGTCTTTATATGCATATACACAAGCACAGAGTATAATAAAAATAATGAAAAAATCACTAGTGTGCTAAAATTACAACTACTGTAACACCCAGGGATTCCCAGAGATGTTCAAAGATTTTAAGTTGGTGGTTCTGAAATATTTACCATATATGTGATGTACATTGTGATGCCATGCTAAATACTAAGAGCTTGTTTGAGATGAACTGGCCTTGGTGGTCAGTGAGAGTAGCTGGGTGCAGTTAAGGGAGGAACCTTACCCACAACGCCCCACGCAAGCCACCAGCTCTCACCCTGTTCACATATCATTTCTCTGAAAACTATACAATTAAATTTCACATGTGAAAATAATAATCACACAGTCTGCACATCCTAATAGGCTATGTGTTGCATTCACCAGTGTATGTCGACATGGTTGTTGTCAGAATTAAGCTCTGTCTCTCAGCTTGCACAGCCGGGTAATGGCCAGCTGCAGTGACTGGCTCTGAAAACTACAGCTGCCTCACTACTGTGACATTATAACAGTGTATGTCATTGTAAACTAACTGGTGTAGAGTCTAATTAGAGCCAGTGTAAGGGGAGCCTGGTCACTTCCCCTCATATATCAAAAACATGTTGCAATAAGCAAAAATGTGTTGCAGTGTTTCATGCTCTTCTGTGCTCAAACAATTAGTGCAATTTTTTTGGATTAAAAAATACTAACTCCCAAAAATCCCAGGCTTATTACACAGTAAGGCTTTCAGTAACTACAGGGACCACAATGCAAACTGGCTGAGGATAGAGAAGTGTGTAATAAAGCTGTGGGCTTGCCAGTGGGCTCTGGCCTTTTAAGGGGTTATTTACATTTACAAACTATGATTTTGTACAAAAGCTCTGTAAGAGCCCATTTATTTTGGACTTGCTCAGGAGTGTCCTCTAGCCCTTGACAAACCTGGAAGACATTATGGAGTGGCAGCTCTCCTCACTGCACATTCTCTGGTCTAATCATACACTCCCACCTTGATCTTACTTACCTCGGTCTCTGGTCATGATTTTCACAATGTTATTGTAGGAATTAAATGTATCGGAGCCGTCAATCAACAACTCTGGGAGGAGCCTCAAAAAGCATAAGTAGATACGTATGTACTTTTTCTGAACTTAAATATTTTCATAAATAAATGCAGCAAAGGTAGTACACAACTGAATTAAAATCAGTCACAAATTTTACATTTAAGTGTAACAGAAAAGAAAACATGCTACCTTGATAATTCTACCTGAGGGTCCTTGGGAAGTGAAATTGAGCCAGATTGTGCTCAGTCAGCACAGCACTGTCAAACAAGCCTTATGTTTTTTTCATTTGGACATCAAGGCATAATCAAGGCGTGAAATGCACTGGGGGGACCAGGACTCACTTACATGTGGTACAAGGGGCACTAGGGGGCCCAGGACTTCCTAATTAACCTCTTGGACCTCTGAATATCTCAAAATAAAAATTCTGGGAGGTCCCTGTAAAAACTGACTACCCTGTCTGCCTCAGGGTAGCGCTGTACCAAATTAGTTCACCCAACAAAAGAGAAGATGTGTAAGATCTCAGTTAATGTGTGGAATAGCGCATTACCAAACTAGAAATTAGCATTCCCAGAAGAAGAACTGTTAAACCAAATGTTTTATTGACATTGAAGCGAGCATCAGTGCCACTATGGTGAGTGAGTTAACAGCCAGCCAATGTAGCCAGCCAATATGGGACCCCCCAAATACCAGGGGATATTTTTCACATTGATTTTAACATGCTAGGCTGGAGTGAAAGACAACAGAGCATTTCTATGGGACAATACAGCACACCCTGCTGTCTCTCTTGTTGGATGAACTTTAAGCAAATGAGCCTAGTCAACCAGCACTAGCCCAGGCAAGACCACCACGCTAAACCAATAAAAAATCCTTAAGTGAGTTTATTTTCTGAACTTGTGAACTTAAGTGCTTTTATCTTGTGCAATATTCATGCCCGTATTAAGTCCAGCTCCACTGTCTGATCATTTTTTGTAACCACGGCTTCACCTGGAAATATATGTCTTTGGCTGATGGAAATACACAAACAAAAACCATGAGGCGAACATTAAATATAAATAATCATATAAACACATACAGAAATTTGTAGACATTTTTATACTTTTTATTATTATTTTTTTTGGAATTCATGAAAGCATAATTCATTTAAAATAAAACATGTAATCACCAGCAAATAAAACTATTGATGCTTCAGAACATGACATTTCATCAAAAAAAAGGAAAAAGCTTTAAAGCAAAATTTCAAAACTGTGTACTAAACAGTTTTTTTGTCTTTTGTTCAGTTCTTGGTCATTTTTAATACTAATGTTTAACTCCTTACATAATGACTCCATGTAGCTGAAATATTAACATATTATGTTAACGTAATACTATACTATAAGAACACTAATATTCTTCCAATCAGTAAACATATAACAACAACAGGTTAATATTTTTGTTACAACATGTAAACTTTTAGTCAGAATTATTTTCTCAAAATGTATATAATATTCCCAAATAACTGTCAAGCCTATGATATTTCTGCATGCAATATTTGAAGCCACACTATGGGTTTAAAATAGCTTCACAAAAAAATCAAGAGTAATAGACAGATATACATACGATCCTTACTCATGTTTAAATGTCATTAATATGATGTGAAATATTAGTTCTGAGTGCAAACTGAAAAACATCTTAAAATGAAGATGTTTTAGATATGGCATTTGAGAATGGAACTCAAAAGATTGTTAGATGTTAGTTTGAATCTATAAGTGATTCTCATTCTAGTCCAGTCAATTTGACACATTGCACATGTATTCTCATATGACACCATAGCTGCAAGAGCAAGTTACATTAATGAAATAAAACTGTGAAATATTGCACAGATTTCACATAAAGAATGTGAACAAAATACTCTTACATTTTTTAATACAGTGATCAAATTGTATGAAATAAGCAAATTAATGGAAAAGAATGGAAGACTATTTAGGATTAAAAACTCTCTCACTTACACGCACACAGACAGAATGCTTTCCCTTAGTGTGATCTTACTATGAAAAATCACAAGATTTTTAGACAAAACCTCATTCGGAAACAGGAGAAATAACAAGCGGCGCTGAGTTTTTACCTCTTTTGTTATTACAGGGGCTGAAGTATGGATAGAGTTTCTCAGTGAAAGACTGGCCAGTGAAAGAGTAGATATGAGATCTGGACTCCACATCATAAAAGGAGACCAGACCCTCCTCATAATCCATAAACACTCCCACCTTCTGGAGCTTCTCTCTTGGGTAGAGGAGGATGGAAGAACCAACACAAGCTCTATACTCATTCCCCTTCCTCAGAACAATAGCCCAGAATCCATTCTGTGGGTCCAGTGTAATCTTCCCCTTCCTGTTAATGGACTCTTTGGCCACTCCTAAGTCCCACTTAGTCTTCCCACTGACCTGCACCTCATAGTAAATTCTTCCTGAGGAGAATCCCTCCTTTCCCAGGACACAGGGACAATGATCAAACCTTTCTGGGGTGTCAGGAAGATCCTGTTTTGTGTCTCCATGTGTCACTTGTTTTCCATCATCAGAGAGGATGAGTTTTGGACTTGCAGTATCAGCTTCCAGAGTCACTTCCACTGAAAGACAGATATTCATGTCAAGCATGTGATTTAGGATGACTGAAATACAAGTGCATACAGTAACTGTCAATTTTTGGACACACCTACTCATTAAAGGACTTAGGACCCTTGCCTGGATCCCTGTTAAGCTCTCTTCAGCTAGAGCATATAGGCTCCCTCTGCACCCTCAGCTCTTAAATGGATAGATCTGCCTTAAACCATGTTTAGACTTTCTGTCTGTGGTTAGTTTTTGGGTTTACCTGTCCTACATCATCCTGTCTGCCAGATCTATATCTCAACTTGTTTATTGTGTTTTAAGTTTCTGAAATGTCTACAGCAGCTTGTTTGCAGTAGCCTGGATGATTTTTGGCTTTGCCTCTGTCTAATAAATATTCCTGGGCATGCATCTTGTATCTCTAAACCATTCATTACAGCAGACTTCACCAACACTTATGGGTGCAGCTGATTACTCTTGAGAAGCAGAAGGTACCTATAGCACCTTGGATTTAGTCCAGGCTGATTCTGATCAAGCTTAGGGATTTTGGAACTGCTGTGAAAGAGCTTATCGCCATACTTCAGCCATGTCCACCACCCCAGCTTCCAGCTGCTTTCCCCAGGTTTGTGAGCCCATTTAGATGTCTACACATGCTCAGACAAGCCACCTACTCTCCCTCTGCTCAAGTCACCAGAGGCACGCCTAGCCCTGCGTGATAAGTATAATGGTGTGTAATCTAAGTACTGGAGGTTTTACTTCAGTGCTCTCTAACTCTGTACTTTGACTGTGGACTCTGTACCTGGTGACACTTTCTTATTCATTCAAAATCGCCACTGTCGTGTCTCTGTTAACACGCTGGTGAGTTAAGTGGACTACTCAAGGCAGATTTCTTGTCTTACATTACCACCTCTACCATAACCCTATTACCATTCTCCTCTTTTTCTTCTCCTGTTCACTAGGTCCTCTCAGTGCTGATGGACCTGCTTAAGACTTCCCTGCACCTCAACATCTATGCTTATCAGGATCTGATAGTTTCAGTAAAACTAAGGCCATATGTCTCCCTCTTCATCACCCTTGGCACTGTGCCTTTGACCTGCTTAGGGAGGTTACCCCCTGTGGAACAGACCCTCTACACCTTCTCTCTGTTGCTGAAATTCAGGCTATGGAGGAGTATCACACTGTCAACTTCATCTACTTCCACTGGTTTTTTCTCTGTGCAGAGATGACTACCCTGCACTGACTACAGAGGCCTCAACACAGTCACAGTCAAGTACTGAGATCCCCTCTCCGTAGTGCTGTCAGCCATTGAACAGCTGAAGGCATTGTGCTAATTTAGCAAGATTAGTCTCAGGTGTGTCTACAACCTGGTCTATATCTGAGAAAGGAGCAAGTGGAAAATGGCACTCAGCACCAGTTGAGGACACTACAAGTACTTAATGATACCATGTGGACTCTGATTTGAGTAAAAAACTGTCTATGAATAACACACAGAGAAAATCAGTGCTGCTCTTTCATTGTGTAGCTTCTTTATAATGCATATTCTCTGGGGAGGCTGATTGTAGATGTTGTTTGTGCATGCTGCTTGACCGATTGATCACTACAAAAACAAAAAAAAAAGCCTTCCTTACCTGCATGATTCATTTTCTTTTCAAACTCTGAGAACAGAAAATAGTTTAATCAATATACAGTGGCAGATATGCTAGATGAAATTAAGATAAATAACTTATGTTTGTATAGAATCATACAGATGAACTGCGCAAACTATGCTAGGTTTAGTGATGATCTGACTAAACTGCAGAATTTCCAGCTGTGATTAACACTTGAGCAAAACTTTTCCAAAATATTTAGCAAGAGGTTGTAGTGACTGTACGTAAGTGTTTAAAGATTATAAAGTAATGCATTACACCTGTAATTAGTGGTCACTGTGATATTAGCTAATCAGGGAAACACAAAAGGCCACTAGTGGCTACTAGATGGCCACCAGGAACCAATATTAATATTTAATGGTTGCTATGATTTTTTTCAGCAGGGTACTCACTCACTGCAGCATTTTTGGAGATAAAAATCTAAAAAAAAGATTTTAAGTGTAGGGCTTGAAAAGAAATTTACCGTCCTCTACCCTCTGCCTCTGGATTTCTGAAAACAGGAAAATTAGAACTGTTAATATCAAAGGAATCACATTAATACTATCAGTAACCATTGAAAATTATAGTCAGTTTCTTTTTGACTTGGCTATAAAACTCTAGCTCCATGCTATGCATCGCAGAATTGTGAGCTATTAAAAATCCCAAATGTGCCTTTTACTCTTAAATATTCCTAACATATAGCTTTTAGACTGAATGCCTTTTTAACTTGGGGTTTACTTTTTAATTTGGGGTTGAAAGGCTTTTATTCAGAGGTCTAAATCTGCCATTAACACTAACTGAAAGTGAGGTCAAGAAATACATTAATAGTAACACTTTCTATGAATACCATGTCTATAAAAACCTATAAACACATTCATGACATGGTATAATGAATTCAAAAGGCATTATAAACATGGCTATAAATGTTTATAAAAATGCATTACACATTATACACATTGGAACCCAGTATGAATTGTTAACATAATGCATTATAAGAAGTGTTCATAATAAGCCATATTATGCTAGTTTATGCATTATAATTAACAATAAATAAATAACTAAATACATAAACAAGCTTTCTTTAGTCGAAATTATATTTCAGTTACAGATCACAAATACAACTTACAAGTTCTTATAAAAGTGTTAAAATATCAGAATTCATAAGTTGCTAAAAGAAATAATGGCGTGAGTTTATGACAAGGTAGGTTTGTTTCTTTGGCACTGACAATATAAAATGTTATAAATATTAATTATAATGCATCATTTGAACAATTTATAATACATAATAAAAATAGCTATGATGCGTAATGTATTTTTATAAATACTAATAGCCATATTTATAATGCTTTTTGAATGCATGCAACATGTAATAAATGTGCTCTAGATTCTTACAGTATTATAATGAAACCTCTTTATGATAATATATATTATAAAATATAGTATTATAATGGAAACTCTAAACTGCAATCTACAAAAAAGTATGAAAGGTAAGCCATTTCTTTTTCTTCCTTGTTTGCTGTTTTTAGTGGATTTTGGACTGTATTATTTGTTCATGTATCTTGAGTTTATTTGTTTGGGCTATTATCCTTGTTATTTTGGCTTTGGCTCATATATTTTCTGCATCTTTGTCAGTAACAAAGAAACACTGCATCATCTATGCGCTGCATTATTCTTAAGAAACATCAAAACAACTTAATAAATAACCAACAAAACAAAACTACAAATTGTTCCCCATTGTGGAGAATCTTCGGCCTGCTAAGCATGAGTGAGTTAACCAGTTCCATGAGGTTTGCATCTAAGAACTCTTTATTCAACTTATGTCCATCTCTCAAGACAGAAATGTCTTCATCACAGACGTCCTGACCTCAAAAAGACAAACAATCAGCCGTCCTCACCTGCATACTGTTTCTCCTTTTCAAAATCTGGAAACATAAATAAATAATTGATTCATATGAGTGAACTGATGGTAGAAAGCAAATCACAGTTGTGAAATCTACTCTAATAACTTTAAACAGATCATAAATATTGGCTGAATCATCAGCTCAATAGTTTCTTGATTAACTTCAAATTAAACAATCAAGTACATAAAAAACACTGAAGAGTGTTATTAAACATTGAAGAGTCTATTTAATGTAAAGTCTTGAGTAATCTATGATTCTACTGGTGTAAATCTACCACCTTTTACCCTCAGAACCTAAAAACTCCCAGAACTCTAAAAAGAGAGGTTTATAAAGTTAATTCATGAGTTTATGACATGCCTAGACTGAACAAAAAATATATATGTACCATTTTGTAGTTTCTTGCTTAGAATTTCTGAAAAGAAACAATAAAAATAAGGGCAACACAATGAGACACCACAAAAATGTGCATGAAATGTACAAAAAAACACATGAAAACTCAAGAGGTAAAATTAGTCTAATGCTGAGGTGCTCAATCTTGGTCCTGGAGATCTACCACCCTGAAAAGTTCAGATCCAACACATCTGGCTGTAATATTCAGATGCCCCTGAAGGTCTTCATTGCATGGATCAGGTGTGTTAGATTAGGGTTGGAGCCTCAACTGCAGGATGGTAGATCTCCAGGACCAGGAGGGGCACCTCTGATCTAGTCCATCTAATCTACTAAATGTTTATGCAAAAGAAGTATTTTTAACAGTTGAAAATAATTTTTACCTTGCTCTTTCAATCTTTTCTGAATTGCTAAAACAGATAAACTAGTAGTTATTAACAAAGGCATTACAACATTATGTGCAATATAATGAATAAAACATTAGTTGAAAAATAACTCTGTCTTATTTAATTAATGACTTTTATTTCATCATATACAGTGCTTTACTATAATTATACATAATAAACTCAATTTTTTTTTAGTACCAGGTTAATTATGAATGCTCTAATTCTGTCAGAAACTACCTCCTTGTATCTACACTCATTGTCCATTTTATCAGTTCCACTTACCAAAGAGGGGCACTTTGTGGTTCTATGATTACAGACTATAGACCATCTATTTCTCTGCACAGTTTGTTACCCCCCTTTACCCTATTCCTCAACAGACAGGACCTCCACAGGACCACCACAGAGCAGGTATTTGGGTGGTGGTTATTTGGGTGGTGGATCGTTCAGCACTGCAGTGACACTGACGTTGTGGTGGTATGTTAGTGTGTGTTGGTACGAGTGGATTGGACACAGCAGTGCTGCTGGAGCTTTTAAATACCTTAGTGTGACTGCTAGACTAAGAATAGTCCACCAACCAAAATATCCAGCCAACAGCATCCTGGGACCACTGATTAAAGACTAGAGGGTGACTAATACAAACAGCAGCAATAAATGAGCTTCTAATTTTACATATACAAGGTGGACCAACAAGGTATGTCTGATAGAGTGGACAGCGAGTGGGCATAGTGTTTAAAAACTCCTGTGGGAGTCCTGACCGTTTAAAAACAGGGTGAAAGGGGCTTACAAATAATGCAAAGAAACAGATGGACTACAGTATACAATTGTAGAACTACAAAGTGCACCTATATAGTAAGTAGAGCTGATAAAATAGACAATGAGTGTAGAAACAAGGAGGTGGTTTTGATGTTATGGCTGATCTGTGTATATCCTAATATAATTACAAATAGAGTTTGAAGCTGGTCTGTAGCAAAAATACACCAAACATGATGTCCTTGCACTGCTGCGAGTTACCCTGTAAAGCCTAAAGTAATACTTCAAAACTGAGGTGTTGAGTCGAATTTGGCAGCAGTCATTTGGAGAATATATTTTTTACAAATTGATATAAAGTCTGGCTGGATTAGCTTTTAGTCCATCCAAATTTGTCATTAGTTTCACAAAGTCAGAAAACCTTATGTCACCACATCTTAACTGCTAGTTGTTTGTGTTTGAGTGGAATAATTTCACTAAATCCCCAAATTATATATTACAGCTTTAAGCTTCTTAAGATTAATTAAAAATAATACCTTTCTTTTGACAAACACAGATGATGGTTACAATGAAGACAACAGCAGAGATGACCGCTAAAACTGAAATACTGACGACAGCAAACTTCCATGCATGAAAGACTTTGCCTGAAATAGAAATGGGATGATATTTACACAGATACCAAAATAACAAATAAGCATCTGTGATTATTTGTTACTACTTGAAAACTGAAAGAAACTGTAACTAAACTGAAACGTGTGTAATCTGTACAGGATCTGTTGCACAGTCAAGTGATTGTCTGGGATCTTGAGCATGTACCGTCACTTACGACCAAAACTGTAAAGAAGTATGGAAATGCATTTACCAGAGATGATAATATCTGTCTCCCTCATGTGATGCTTTTGTTGAAGTCTGCAGTAGAATCTGTTGGAGTCACTATCATGAACAGTGATGCTGTGTTTCACTCTGAAGCCCTCAGTGTCTCTGTGTGTCTCTGTATCTTCAGCATTCAGAGTGACCCCTTCTCTGTCCAGCCACCAAACATCAGGTTTAGGATTCCAACCTTTAGATTCACACACTAGATTGATCCCTCCTAAGTTGTCATAGCCCTCCATAGTGATCACCGGGTGAGTTCCCAGAACTGCAGGGATCATCAACATCAAAAGAATTATCACTAGCTAACTTTTTGCACAAACTTTTTATGCTGACATACATGACATGTATGTGACGTAAGCAGTACATGTACACACTCATACGTATTCCATGTTCCAGTTGACATGATGTGTCATAAAACATTACTGTCATTTTATACCTTTTATGTAAGATACTTATTGATTTTCTTTGTGCTATAGAAATTTCCAAGCTCTGGGTTTTGCCAGTGTTACAGGAGTTATATAAGCTAAAATGTTTTAGCTCATGTGATGTGATCACATGATTGTAATAAAAGTTTGAGGTTCCATCTCATCTACATCTTCTCTTTGTCCTTTGACTACCTCCCAGTCATTTTTAAAGTTTTTTTTTTCTTTTAACCTAAGTTCCTCCCCAATTTAGTCGTAGCCAATTCCACCTGCTTTTTTAGAATGAAAACCTGCATCCACCCTGGCCCTTTGAAGATAAGACTGGACACCCCTGCATTAAGGGGTCACCAGGAACTGAATTCTAATGACAAGGTGAACACTTAGACAGTTGCACCACTTGGGAGCCCCCCAGAGTCATTTTTACCCTATGTTGCTGCCATTTTACAGTTATATTTTCTTGCAGTGGGCCTGGAGAAGTTGCATGACTAGAGCAAATGTAAAGCTCTCCCCATCGCCTCAGTATTTATGATGTTCTGCTGATGTGAAAGTGATGTGTCAGTAAACTAAAAGTTAAAGGAAAGAAAACTTGATAGTCATCTTTAGAGATTGCCATGGTCTCCAAAGGTATCGATTTATGGCAAAGTAGTGCTTCACCTAATTCATATCAGCTGGAACAATAAATATGTTTTTCAAGTGCTATTCAGGGTTTATAAAGGTATCAGGTATGTCATAGGAACACTAGATTTTCTCTTTGTAGGGTTTAAACTAAACATCTACCACATCCAAAAATGTGAAGATACTGAAGGTAAATAACAACAAGGGACACAGCAGCAAAAATATGTGGCACAACTGAACTTTCAGTGAAAAATCAACCAAGTAAATATTTCTTACCCTCAACAATGACATTAACAGTAATGTCATCATACCAGGATTTGGCTTCAACGAGACATTTGTAAGCTCCCTCATCTGAGACTTGGACTGCTGAGAGTTTAAGTGAAGCGTTGCCTTTTTGCAGCTCCTCTCTTGACAGTGCTGTTCTTCCTCTGTAGCTTAAAATCTGCCCTTCATTTTTGTCTTCACGGTCTTTATAAAGATGGACTAATGAGTCTGTTACATCTACTCTGAACCACTCTACTCTCATATCCACAGCACTGGTGCTGGGTTGGATAGAGCAGGGCAGAACCAGATCTTCACCAGCTACAGCAAAAAGAGGAGCAGCTGCACCAACCACCTTCAAACACTCTGTATTGTGAAACAAACAAACCAGCACATTTTTAACTTGACTACACATTTACTGTGTATTATCATGAAGGCATTTTCAAGATTGAAAGGTTGCACTCAGCTTTAAATGATAGATTTTCCTTCCATAACTGTGATTCCTCAGACATCTGGTCAAGAAGGCTGAGAATTCTTATTGGTCAACTAAACAACTATACTCAAAGTCATAACTTTCTTTTCATGGAGCAACATATTTAGTTTCACGTTTAGTAAGGCTTTACATACATACATACATACATACAACATATAAGGCATTGTTCTACTGCCCAAAGTACCAGAACCATACCAGAAAATCAGAAGTGTGCTTTTTCTGTTGGTCTTCAGTCCAGTACCAAAGGTTCCAGTTTCATGGTTTTTGATAGCTGCTCAAGATTGGTTTCCACAGGACCAAGTCAAGGATGTGCTCCTCTGTGTTTGCTAACATTCTAGCTAAAGTCAATGACAATTTATCAACTTCTTTGCCCTTCCAGTTGAAGATAAAATCACCAAGCACTCTTACAAGACCAACAAATTCACCTCAATGTAAACGAGAATGGTATGTTGATGTATCATTTGCTATTTTTCAAATTCTTACGTACTATATCTTTGTTGGGGTAAGCTAGTTGGGAAGATAGAACTACCCCTATTAGTATTTATGACAGCCAGAGGTGGTAACAAGTCACTAAGTTGCAAGTAACAAGTAAGTCTCAAGTCTTGACACTCGAGTCCCGAGTCAAGTCCCAAGTCAAGACACTCAAGTCTCAAGTCGAGTCCCAAGTCAAAATGGCTCCAGTCCACACCTCTGATGCTACCCTTTACAGAATAAGTGTTTTTCTCATATTTTCACTCAGCAGAAAAATATAAGCTTTGCATTCTAGACATGATTCTGTGTAATTGCAGAAATTTGTGTCAGTGTTTCCATGCAGAACAGAGCAGTTCAATCTTTTGATTGATAGTAGTCAGCTACTAAGTTAAGCTAGATATAATTACCAAGCATGATAGCTAATTAGCCAAATGACATGCAAAAGATAACCACAAAGACAATAAAAATAATAATTGTGGTTATTATGATGGTCCCGGCTGTCCCTAAAATAAAATAAACAAAAGCTAGTACCGTAAGTTCTGTTGGTTGCTGTTTGTTTATAAATGTGCAGTAAGAAAACCCCAAAGTGAGCACACACACTCGCACACACACTTTGAATATACCTGATTGAGAATCCATGAAGATGAAGAAAATCTGTGTCACACAGACAAACTTCATCCCTGAAGAACAGTTTCTTCTCATTGCCACAGAGTAATAAACACTTTTTCACAATTTCAAAACTCCTATTGTCATTTACCGCACACAAACTTTACATATTGAACCAAAAAAATGAGGAAATCTCTCTCATTATGCTCGTCTTGAAAGTCTAGCCGGGAGTCCTTTCATTTTCTATAGAAGTAGAGAAACAAGCTGAACTGGTCACTCACTCACTCACTCACCTACTCTCTCTCTTTCCCACACACACACACACACACACACACACACACACACACACATAGACAGACACAAAGTACAAGTTTAAAATGTACTTTAAAAAGTGAAATTGAACAAATGAAAAGCACTCAGTGTTAAATATTTCACTTTCCTGTTCATATATCTTTGCATTTGAGTGTAGCAAAATAAATGTTCATAGAACTTTTAGGTTAATAATAATGATGATTTCTGTAGGTCATTTCTTCATCATGCTACTTGAAAATATCAGTATTTTATGATGTTAGTACTTTACAGAAAATAACACATTTCACCATTAATCAGTAAGTGTAATTTAACACCACTCCCCTTTTCTCTCATAGAGACCGGTATGCTCAGTGACCAGTCTGATAATCTGATGGTTAAGCAACCTGACTCAGATAGAGGAGCAGAGGATGAGGTGGTCTTGTTCTGAGGAGCAGAGAAGGAGACTGGCTGTACTGTATACACGGACAGAAATATCAGAGAATAGAAGTGGGCAATTTGGCAAAAATGTAATGTTGTGCAACTTAATCTTTGTCAGTACTCACATTTTGAAATGGACAACCAACAAAACTGTAGGGCCAAATGTACAGTAAAAAACTATAAATACAAAGATATTTTTCAAGATAATAAAGAATGAGGGAAAAAAATCAAATAGTTACAGATGGGCCAACATTCACTCACTTCTTTGTTATATATGCTGGTTGTTATTAACAGGTTCTTTACAGCAGGTGTAAAGCTAACATGCGATTCCTCAGCATTCTAGAAACATTCATATCTACAATATGCCCAGGAAGTGATGTAATTTCTTGATAGCATCCTTTTTTTTTAATCCAAATTGTTCTTCTACTGACAAATATCCTCAGGGCCCTCTAGGCCTTTAGAGAAAGCCTCATGACTTTTATAAAATAAAAAATATGTCCGTAATTTTTTAATTTAACATAACCATCATGCTTGTTGTATTTTGACTCTGCAAGTACTGGAGCTATACTCTTAGCTCTGTTTGGAAACAAAAGAGTTAAAATCTTGATGTGCTAAACAGTAAATCATCCAATCAGGGTTTTTTTTCTCTGTGATGTACAGCCAAGAGCTCTCCATTGATTAGGACTTCAGGAGCTGAAATTAAGTCCTTACGTATTAGATTAACTACTTGCATAACCAGGAACTGACAGTGGAATCAACCAATCATGTATTTATTTTCCAATGAGTGGGACCAGTTTTGTGAGCACAACTTCACTTTAGGCCTTCTGGAAGTGCTAGATACATCACTGACTGTGAATAGGAGCAGTAGTTTAACAATGTTTCCATTGGTTGTTAGAAATGAAAAACACTTTTACGCCAAAGCTGAACTGCTACAAGGTAAAATACATGTTAAAATATCTGTTACAAGCTTAATTTAAAACCTGGAATACCTTAAAAAGCTTCAAATGGCCATGTTTAATTTACAATGGCCAAAAATGTTCATGTGAATTGCCATAAACTTAGCATTCACATACTACTACAGTCCGATGGGCTGCTAGCTGAAATTTGCATTATCATATGGATGTTTTTCCCCCTCATTTTTGCCAGAGTTTTGACAATTATGGCCAGAACTGAAGACCTAGCTCTAACAGTCACAGTTTGACCCTAAATATTATGTGATTTTTTTTTTCTGAAAATAGTCACATGATTATTTACTTTCTCTCAAAACTAATAGTCTGTACGACTTTACTCTAGTTTTGGTCAGAATAATTAATTTTAGCTCAAAATGTGAACAGTGCAATAATTCACTGAGCACAGTGTGCAGGAGACAGTGGACTCCTACTCTGATTCACTCACTGACAGATACTCAGAGGCAAGCTGGATTCATTCCTTCCACTAACAAAGTTCCATCCTAAACACTTTAAATGACTCACAGTCCTTAATGGAAGCCTGAATCAGAAATGGTTTTTAAAGGACAAGCACTGCTCTGTGAAGAACGCTTTAAAAAATCCATTCTCACTTATGATGCCTATAATCATGTTCTGTCCTGTGCATTTTCTGTTCAGATGTACTTTCACTCTCTCATGTACTTTCAATCCATCCTTTGCTTCAGTAGGGTTGGGAGGGGTAAAGGGATCACCAAGGCAACAGTAAGAGAAAATTAAATGTACAAATGATGGTTTATTTTCTGATCCAGTGTTTCTTGATCCTGGTCATTGACTGTCCTTCTCCTACACAGATTTGGCTCATTTAAGAAGTGATTAATTAGTTTAATCAGTGTTACTTGTTCATTTTGATAATTAACTATGCACTGTAAAAATGTGGGGTTTTAACTTTAAAAAGTTAGTTACCAGCCTGCCTTAACATTTTGAGTTATTTGAATTTCAAAAAAGTTGACAGGACATAAAACACAGATTCTTGTTTGTGGAGAAGGGGGCATGGCCTAGCGTTGAATGCAGGACGGAGAAGCTGGTCGGGCTGAACCGGGCTAAGTAGCTGATGATGTTCACCTGTGCCTTGTTTCTGCCAGCCTTCGTACAGTCATCTCTTCCCTCAGTAGGTGGCAGAGCCCAGAGAGAGAGAAGGAGACCTGTAAAGGCGTGAGAGCCGATCTGAGCCAAACTGCACAAAAGAAAGAAATAAAGGACTGAAAAGTCCTACACCTGCCCCTGGCGTCCTCCCTCCACCCATTATTAAAGTTACATTGTTCTATTAGCTTACTGTTCAAAGTTCAATTAACTCAAAATTTTAAGGCAGCCCAGAACTTTTAGTTAAAACCCAAAATGTTTTTTTTTTCCGTGTATTTAATGTTAGATACAGTCAGGTCTCTTACTTAACTATAGCTTTAGTACCTGTCGTACATCACTGTTCTTTCATGCTTCTTTTGTTTTCCAGGCATTCTGCTATTTCACTCATCTGTGTCACGCATCCCTTCAGCAGGGACTCCAATTCCCAGAACCCCTCTAACTCCACTACACACAACCTATCTGAGATCAGCCTCGTCTGACTACTGAGTATTCTCCCCTGTTCTGTGTATCACGTGATCTGTTTAGTTAGCTTTAGTTTAGACAAATTGTGAGGTAGTTCTTCTGCCACAAGAGCTACTGAGCGTTTCGTTATGCATTCTGGTTTGTTTTTCTGTCTTTTGCCTTTTTGCCTGTTTATTTTGACTCTGCCTTTTTGGCTGATCCCTTGGATTTTGTTATGACTGTGATTGTCTGGATTTAGATTGTTTTGCACTTGACCTTGGCCTGTTTTGTGTCAATGATTTCACAACTCCCTTACACCAGTAAAGTCTCTTCAGTTTACAATCCGCTCACGTCTGACTCAATTTGTCCTGTTACGTCAGGTTTCTTAAAAAGGTGATTGAAACTCACAAAAAACTTTTCTATCAAACCAATGAGTGCAAAGTTGACATTAATGAGAATCCAGCATTGTAAATTCAGCTAAAGTCAGCTTTATTGTTTACTTACAGCAAGGGAATCACTTCACCTGACTATTTTTACCACAGAGCTTTACATCACTACAAATAAGTAAAGGCTAACAATATGAACACTGTATTGTAAGATATATTCACAGATGGCAAAGATTGCTACCTGTTTATCAGCCTGACAGGCAGGAGAGAAAGGAAAAGTCTACAGCAGTCTTTTTGATACTGGTGTTGTGATGTCATCACTTTCCTCACTTTCTGTTCACACATGCGCACAAAAGCAGACAGAAAAGCAGACCTGCTGACTTTATATTAATTCACATTAATCTGACTAATTTAAATAATACATTTTAAACCAACAAACTCATATTTTTAACCAGTTAAACAACTGAAATAATTAAAGTTGACAACGTCCCCGTTTCATGTTTTGTATGTAGACACCAAAAGTGTGTTGACTTTGTGGGTTTGTGGTGAGTTTATGTTTGCAATATTGGATCAAAGTTGTGACTAAACTCAAATAAACCACAATACAGCTTCATCATCATCTAAAAACAGTTAACAGAACACTGAGGAGAGAAGGGCAGTTATCACTGGCAGAGCATTCATTTTTTTTTAATTGTAAAAGACTTTTACAATTGATAATATAATAATTGAAAAAGAGAACTAACTACTAAGAGACTAATGTGCTCTTACAGCATTTGGTGTATGTATTCCTATATAATATTGAGAAGAACAAATGTTCATTTATTGTGACTGACAGGTGAGATGATCAGTGGAGTTGAGTTTTTAACTCCATCATTTAGACGGGGGCTGAAGAATGGATAGAGTTTCTCTGTTAAAAAAAGACTGACCAGTGAAAGAGTAGATATGGCATCTGGCCTCCACATCATAAAAGGAGACCAGACCCTCCTCATAATCCACAAACACCCCCACCTTCTGGACCTTCTCTCTCGGGGAGAGGAGGACTGAGGGAGAATCAAGAGCTCTATATTCATTCCCATTCCTCAACCACACAGTCCAGAATCCATTCTGTGGTTTCAATTTAATCTTCCCCTTCCTGTTAATGGACTCTCTGGCCACTCCTAAATCCCACTCAGTCTTCCCCGTGACCTGCACCTCATAGTAAAATCTCCCTGAGGAGAATCCCTCCTTTCCCAGGACATTGACACATGAATCAAATCTTTTTGGGTTGTCAGGAGGATCCTATTTTGTGTCTCCATGTGTCACTTGTTTTCCATCATCAGACAAGATGAGTTTGGGATGAGCTGTATCAGCATCCAGAGTCACAGCCACTGAGAGAAACACACAGTGTGAGAAAATTAATTAATCATTTCATGATGATGTGAAGGACAGTTTGTGAAAATGAACAAAACTG